CATCCATTAGCGGTGAGGGATGGGCCAAGGACGGGCACTGAGAACACAGAGGACTTGCTGGGGGCGCCGGGCTGGCTCCTTCTTACTGGCTTTGAACCTGAAAGGACGACACTGGAATTCCTAAGGCCACATCTGCCACCACGAGGAGGGAGCTACCAGCAAGGCAAAGGAGCTTGGGATGAGGAGACAAAACCCAAACCTGGTAGTATCATTTCCATCCCTGGATCCTGCTGTGCCTGAAGCTACCCTTGACTGTGTTTAGAGCTTCCCACTGAGCCAGCAAATTCCCCTTCCATGTATCCAGCGAGGACCAGGGTTTCGGTCACATACAACCACAGGGGTCTTCACTATGAAATGGCTTCATGCAAACCCTTGACCACTGAGAGAAAGAGCCCAACGGGCAAGTTCTCCTGACATGGGTGGGTGGCACTGACACTCTACACAACACTGGCACAGAGTGGTAGGCATTAATGAGGCAGCACGTTAAGCCTCCACTTGGGATGCCCATGTTCCATATCAGAGTGTCTGGTTCAAGTCCCAGCTATTCCACTTCCAATCCAACTCCCTGCTAATGTGCCTGGGAGACAGCAGATGGTCCAAGTGCTTGGGCCCCTGTCACCCACCTGGGAGACCCTGATGGAGTTCCAGGGCTTTGACTTTGCCCTGGCCAAACCCTGGCTATTGTGAGCACTTGGGAGAGTGAACCGGTGAATAAAGATCTTTCTCTCTCTTTCTTTCTCTCTTTCTCTCTCTCTCTCTCTGATAGACACAGTGCCTTTCAAATAAAGCCATGCTAAGCAGCAGCTCCAAACTATACATGGTTGGCATGCAGTGGCTTATCCCATGCTTATGACAATCCTAGTATGTGGGTGTATCTTAGTTGCAGTTTTATCAATGAGAAAACTAAGGCCCAGGGACCCTCTCTGAACTTAGTGGCAAGGTCAGGGCTGGTACCTTGACCCAGCATGGTTCCCACCAGTCTAGGATAGCATCCAAGGAGACTGGTCCCCCGCAGCCATGGAATTTGTGCTGGGCAGGGGGTGGAAGGGACACAAGGTGTGTGGGTGTCAGGTGGCATCCAGTGATGTAGGGTGCCCAGCCTCCATGGCTGTCGAGGTCCTGCAGAAAGGGAATCAAACTCTTTCTACCCCGGCTTGGAAACAGAAAGGGTTCCGAGTTTGGATGGGAACATGTGAATGCCAATTCGCTGTGTGACGCTGGACGGCTCATTTCTGCTTTCCAAGCCCCACTGTTTTTCCTCTCTGAGAAGTGGACGCCCCCTTGTCCCCACCTCTGAGCAATTGAGGCCAAAGGTGTGAAAGAGGATCACGAAATCCAAGGATGGCTACAGGAAGAGGGGTGTGGACAGATGGAAAGCAACCAGCGACACGTCTCCTCCCTGCCCAGGCCACGTGGGGACCTGAAAGGCACCTTTCTGTCCCCAAAGTGCAGAGATAAGGACTGTGAAGCGAGAGCAGGGAGTGCTGCTCCAGGCGTGCGGGAGTTTATTTTTACCTCGTTATCTCTACTCTGAAATGTCAGCCTTGGAGCTGCCTCTCTGCTCCCCCCAAAGTGGCAACGCAGCCTGGAAACGGGCCCCCTCTCCTCCCCTGTTCCCCCTGCCTCTCTACGGGAGTCCTAGCTCTATGGCGACAGGAGGCATGGAAACAAGGAGCTAGAGAAGGGGGAGGCAGACCTTTTCGTTGGGGTCACTTCCTCCTGGAGACCGAGGGTGCAGAGCATGCCCTAGCCACTGTAGGGTTTGTGTTGCGGGCTCTTTCTGTTGCCAGACGTGGAAATCCAACCTGAACTGTCTCATGTCGTAAAGGAAGCTGGATTGGCTGAGGCCACTCAAGCATCCAGCAAGTAGCAGGCTTCAAGTCAAGTTTTCTTTCTTTTTTTTTTTTTAAGATTTATTTTATTTATTTGAAAGAGTTACAGAGAGGGGTAGAGACAGAGAGAGAGGTCTTCCATCTGCTGGTTCACTCCTCAACTGGCAACAATGGCTGGAGCTGCGCAGGAGCCAGGAGCTTCTTCCAGGTCTCCCCCGTGGGTGCAGGGGCCCAAGGTCTTGGGCCATCTTCTACTGCTTTCCCAGGCCATAGCAGAGAGCTGGATCGGAAGAGGAGCAGCCGGGATACGAACCAGCGCCCATATGGGATGCCTTCACTTCAGGCCAGGGCTTTAACCTGCTGCGCCACAGCGCCAGTCCCATTCAGGTAAGGTTTGATCTAGGGGTTCAATGCTGTTACAAGATCTTGGTGTTGCTTTCTGCAACTTGGGGCTCCTGGGGTTCTTCTGTGGTGCTGGCTTCATCCTCAGGCAGAAGCCCCTCACAGTTCTAGATTTCTCTCCAGGTCATAAATGGCTACGGTGATTCTAAATTTCACATCCTCAAACTGGTGGCTTCCAAGGAAAGAAGAGGAAGCTTCCTTTTGCCAGAAGGCCTTAGGCAACGTCTTGTTGAGTTTTATTAGCTTTCCCTGGGTTCTGTGCCCATCCCTGGGCCAGTCACCATGGTGTGGGGGCAGGAATTGAAAAATGCTTCTGCGTAGCGTGAGCCACCCGTTTCCCCGGAGGAGGTGAGCAGTAGTTTCTGGAGGGAAATGCACAGCATTGCACCCAGAGGGAGGGAACAGAGGCTGTGCCCAAGCGTGACCTGCACTTTGCAGTCTCAGCCTCTCCCACCCAGGAAGGCCTGAGATCAGAGCGGGCTGTTCCTTCCATCTGAGGCCAATGGCACGTTCCTCTCTCTCCAGTTGTACCTTTGCCTGGGCTTCTAAGTTCCGGGAATCCCAGATCTGCCACGCCCAGAATTTCACCAGTATATACTGGTGCCTCTCCCTGGTAGACGGCCGTGCAGGCTGAAATACGTTTTTACCCACAGGTGTCATTCTTCAGTCAATCCAATCTTCATGCATCAGAGCTGTCCATTTGCCGCTCCTCGTGGTCTAGAAAGTTCTTCCGTTAAATCCGTGCAGGCCTGACTCCATCGCATATTCGGGACTGTGCTCAAGGGTCATACTCTCACCCTTAGAAGAGGTCTCTGACCAGCCCTGTATGTAAAATGTTCATGAGGCTGGTGTTGTGGCACAGCCGGTCAAACGGCCACTTGCTAAGCCAACACCCCATATCAGAGCAGAGGTTGCAGCGCTGGCTGCTCTGTCTCCCACCCAGCTCCCCAATGCACCTGGGAAGGCAGCTCACGATGGTCCAAGTGTGTGGGCCCCTGTCACGCATGTGGGAGGCCCAGATGGGGTTCCTGGTTCCTGGCTTCAGCCTGGTTCATACCTGGCTTTTGAGGCCAGCTGGGGAGTGAAGCAGCAGATGGAAGATTGCTCTCTCTCTTTCTCGCTCTGCCTTTAAATAATTCCCTCAGGTGGAATTCCCATTCTCTCTGTGGATATGAATTCTCCTTGAGACCTGCTGGGCTGTGACACCTTGGGACAATCCAGTGACAGTATATGGTTAGCCCAAGGCAGAAACCCCAAAATGCACCTTACGCAGGTGGCCACCCATCGTTCCTGTGCTCTGGAGACATCACGCCACCTGGGACACCTCCAATACGGGTAGTCATAGTTGTTGCTCATCGTCTGCTCAGCCAACCAGCCTGGTCCTTCTCTAAGTCCCACACAGTACCTGGACGTCTGCTCTGTGGGACCCCTTGTGGCCTGTAATGACATCTTTCAGGGGTAGGGAGCCCTTTTTTTTTATGCCAAGGGCCATTTGAATAATTATAGCACCATCCATGGGCCAAGCAAAATTATCAACAAGCAGCCTGCTATAGATTTATTGCGTGCTGAGGCCTGCCTGTGGTTGGTTAACAAGGTCTTACACGGCCCGGGGGCTGCATGATCCTCACCTCTGATTTAGATGTTTTTTACTCTTCCTTCCCACTGGACTCCAAACTTCAAGGGCAGGGACCAGTTTCTTTAGCCCGCTGGGGATTTTCTCCACCCAGCCCTATGCCTGACACGTGGCCTGTGCCCCCTGAATACCGTGGGAGTGGAGAAATGGTTAAATGGGCCGGTTCAGGGTCAGCCAGCCCAGCGCAGCTGGAAGAATGAGAGGAGGCAGGAGTTTTTCCACTGTCAGTAGACACTGCCTCCCGCTCGGCACCTCTCCCCCTTTGTCATGGTGTCTCCTGCGCATAGAGTGTTTTCTGGATTCGCGATAACCGATACTGGGAGAGTCAATAACCAAGTGAACAGACACTGTTCTCTCTGATTATTGTCTTTAGTCTCAATGTGTGAAGGAGAAGGGGGTGGGGGGCTCACAAGACCCAAACGTCTCCCATCAAGTCCAAGGCTCCATTCCAGTCATTCCCTTTGGACTCAGTGGGTCTGGTCCTTGAGGGTCATGCAGCCAGCAAGGGGGAGGCTTCTAGCACAAACTAGTTTGCCAGGGACAATGTTCCTTTGGAGGTTAGTACAACAAGTTCTGGGTTAGATGTTGCAAGTTGAAGTGGGTCATGGCTCCTGGTCCTTATCACATAACCTGAAAACACAAGACTAAAGACCAACCCAAGAATGGTATCTACCTTCTGAGATAACCTGGCCCGAGCCTCTGCCACCAGGTTGAGAGGCCAGTAGAAAGAGAGGGCTCTTTCTTCTCCATTGCTGCACACGGCTTACTGGGGGATGTCTGGCTCCTCACAGGGTCTTTGTACACCTGACATTGAGCCAACAGATCCTTCGGGAGGATGCTAGAGAGGCCACAAGCCAAAACCAAAGACTCTGAAAGCCATACAGAGAAACCACCACAAAACCAACTCTTCAGACACATCTGGCTCTCAAGGCCACCTCTGGCCAGCACACAAGTGGCTCACCTTTGGGCTACAGGTTCCCTTCCAGGACCAGAAGTGAAAGGAAAGGGATTTATGGGTTGTCCTGGAGTTGTAGACTCTGGCTTGTCCCCAGGATGAGTTCATTGCTTATTTTTAGAGACCGGACTCAAATGAAACAAACAGAGCCTATAAATAGAGCAGGGAGACACTGGGCTCGGTGTCACTGAAAGGTCCCTTTCACAGAGACAGACTCCTCGCTGAACGGGCGTTCTCGGGTTACCCCCTGCTACTACGTGGGGAAGAGCTGTGCTTTGTCTCTTCAAGGGTTGTCCAGGAGCAAGCGCGAGCAGGTGAGTCAGCCACTGGGATTCGGCCCGATTCTGATCCCTCTCTGTTTCCCAAATGCTCATTCACACTCCAAGTGAGAAAGAGCTGCAGAGGCAGGATGTCACTCTGTAAACAGCCTGGCGGGGACAGCTGGCAGCTGCCCCTGGACCGTATCTGACAGAGTGTTCTGGCCTTTTAGATGAGACTGCAGACTACCCAAGGGAAGGACCAGGTGCTAGGGTTTCCTCCTGGTTTATGCCACGGAGCGCAGGGACGGCCCAGGGTGGCTCAGCGGGCCCTGAGCGCCCTGCACAAGGGCCCTCCTTTTTTGCAAGGTGATCTTTATGGAACCACAAGTGCCTGGGTTCCAGGGACTTGGGTTTTAATCCCAGATGTGTGCTGGACAGGTGGAGTTGTTGCGTCATCTAGACACACAGGGGGGAGGGGGGAGGGCTGAAAATGCTTGGAACGACTGAGTGAACATAAAGCCGTGGGGTGACAAGGTCAGGTCATGAGGACAATCACCAGAGAAGAGCTCCTGTGGGCTTAGCATCGGCCCAGGTCATTCCAGGCACTATTGGAGGTGTTTTGTAGAAACTCAATCTTTCCCGAAGCCCCATGGAGTAGGGGCTATTATTATCTTTACACACTTGGAAACTGAGGCACTGAGAGGTCATGTACTCGGTTGGGGGCCACATGGTCAGTGAACCAGGGCTGGAAGCTGGGCAGTTAAGCTCCCAAGCATGGTCTCTTAGAGTAAAAATGAAGGCCTGGGTGGTGGGTGGGGGTGTATCTGTTGATTTTCCTGCCCAGCAGACCTTCCTCTCTCCCCTGGTGGCTCCAGGTCCCTGGGGGACCAGCCCTGCCCATTCCCAGCCCAGGTGCTCTGGTGCCTAGTTTTGGGGTGATCTCCCCTACAGCACTCTTGAAGGTATGGCCCTGGGACCCCCAGGGTCAGGCAGTATCCAAGGGCCTCAGGATGAGGGCACACTGGATTCCCCTCTGCATTTGAGAAGTAGTTAGCCTGAAGAAGGGAACTGGCCGCCTTGGGACCCTTGCATGGAGAGGAGGTAGAGCTCAAAAACAGAGGTGGAGGGGACCATCTGAAGCCTGAACCCAGGCAGGCCTGATGCTGGAACCTAGCTTTCACTTTTTTTTTATTTTAATTTTTAAAAGATTTATTTGAAAGGCAGAAAGAGAGAGAGAGAGGCAGAGAGAGAGAGAGAGAGAGGCAGAGAGAGAGAGAGAGAGAGAGAGAGAGAGAGAGAGAGGCAGGCAGAGACAGGGAGATCTTCCATTCGCTGGTTCACTCCCCAAAAGGCCACAGCGGGGTTGATCCCAAGCCAGGAGCTTCTTCCAGGTCTCCCAGGTCTGCTGCTTTCCCAGGCGCATCAGCAGGGAGCTGGACTGGGAGTGAAGCAGCTGGAACTCAAACTGGTGCCCATATGGGATGCTGTTACTGCAGGTGCCAGCCCCCATTTTATAAAAGGTTGATTGGTTTATTTGACAGGTAGAATGACAGAGAGAGGGGGGGAGAGACAGAGAAAATTAGATCTTTCATCCTCTGGTTCACTCCCCAAATGGCCTCAGTGGCTGGGGTTGGAGCCCAGAACTCCATCCTGGTTTCCCACGTGGGTGACAGGGTCCAAAGACTCGAGTCATCTGCTGCATTCGGAGGACGGGAATGGATCGTAAGAGAAGCAGCTGGGACTCCCACTGGCCCTCCAATATGGGATGCCAGCACTGCAGGTAGTGACTTAACCCACTGTACCAAATCATTGGTTCTTCACTTCAAATTCTCATGAACAAATACCTTCTCTTGGCTGACGAAGCTGGTGAACGGTGGAAAGACCCCTAAGTGAGAGAGCTTGATCCGTCCCTAAACATGCTCTAAGCCAGCTCTCAGCCCAGCCTGACCCATGGATGAGCGCCCACCCTCACTTCCTCTAGTCCTGCTTGGCTCTTCCAGAGACACGTGCTCTGCTCTCCCAGACACCGTGAGAATTACCTCCTGCTCCCCTGGCTGCCGTGACACAGAACCCGTGCACTTCATTAGCATGGCGTTTATTCTGCCTTGAAATGCACTAAATTATTTCCAGGTCATCCATCAGCATTTACTGAATGCTTCCCGTGTGTCACATCTTTGGCCAGAGGCTGGGAGCTCACAGCGAGTGACATCCACACATCGTCGAGGTCTTCCTGAGCGTCAAGCCGCTTTGCTTGGAGTTTCTCATGTATCCGTCGCGTCGTTACGTCTCCTTGACGACATGAATAATAAGCTGCCTAACATCTCTGTTGGTCCGTCCTGCCCCCCGCACATGGTACCAGGTGTTAAACTAGGACATTAGCAAAGCACTGAGATGAGACAGAAGGGAAACCTCGAAGGGCACTGGCAGATGAAGATGGAGGTTCTCATCACCACCGCTTTAGGATGAGTATCACCAGCCAAATCCCTCATCCACAAAGAGGATGTGAAAGAATCAATAGGGATTGAGAGTGGATTTTAGGAGGATTTTTTTTTCCAAATTCCCAGTATACATATCCAAGGTGTGGGTGGTTTTTAAATTTTGTATTTATTTTCATTTTATTTGAAAGGCAGGGATATAGAAAGATGGACACAGAAAGATCTTCCATTCATTGATTCACTTCCCAAGTGCCTGTAATGACTGGAGCCGGACCAGCAGAAACCCCTAGCTCAATCTAGGTCCCCCACAGGGTGGGAGAATCTGGAGAATTTCCTGTTTCCAACGACCTGAGCACTTTGATGATGACTTTTTTTTTTTTTTTGACAGGCAGAGCAGACAGTGAGAGAGAGGCAGAGAGAAAGGTCTTCCTTTTGCCGTTGGTTCACCCTCCAATGGCTGCTGCGGCCGGTGCACCACGCTGATCCGAAGGCAGGAGCCAGGAGCCAGGTGCTTTTCCTGGTCTCCCATGGGGTGCAGGGCCCAAGGACTTGGGCCATCCTCCACTGCACTCCCTGGCCACAGCAGAGAGCTGGCCTGGAAGAGGGGCAACTGGGACAGAATCCGGCACTCTGACCGGGACTAGAACCCGGTGTGCTGGCACTGCTAGGCGGAGGATTAGCCTACTGAGCTGCGGCGCCGGCCTTGATGATGACTTTAACGATCAAAGCATTAACACAAGACTTGAGCCATTGCATGCAGCCTCCCATAGTGCATATTAGCAGGAAGCTAGATTGGAAATGCAGGAGCTGGGATCCAAGCCAAGTACTCCACTACGGAATGTGGGTGTCCCAAGCAGCCTCTTAATTGCTCCATCAAGCACTGGTCCCACAGTGTGCGTGTTTTATTTGTTCCTAAACTTTAAGTCCATGGAGAACAGCCTTTTTGGGAGGCCACGGAGAGTTTGATTTTCATTCTCCGTCATTGGAGAGGTGGAGGGGCAGGCATTGTTTGTGACTTGCCCTGAGCACCCAGAGGGTGAGAGGCCATGGCTAGGACATCCGCTTGGAAGCCTAAAGCTTGCCTGACAGAAGGACAGTTTCTCGTGGACTGTCCTGGCTGGTAGATCATGGTAGATATGATCTCAGAGTGGCCAGGAAGGGCACTGACACAGCCTGGGGGTAGACTGCCAGACCCTGGAGTTAAAGAGATTCCTACAGCAGCCTGAGCGACACTGACCACCCGAGTGCCCACTGGTGGTCCCACGTGGTCCAAAAGCACCTAACATCTCTGCTGGCCTATCCTGTCCCCAGCACACGTTACCAGGTGTTAAACTAGGACATTAGGAATGCTCTGAGGGGGCACAGTCCCATCTCTTGACTCTGACATCAAGCAAGAACTTCCTTCCCTGCCTGATTTCTCCTACCATTTTTTTCCTTCCACACTCTTGTATGTGCTGCTGGGGGGTGGAAATACCTACTTCTCCCTTTCCGGAAGGCAAGCAGTCATAAAGGGGGCTGTAAAAGGAGGAAGTGCATTATCTTCAAATAAAGTGAGAAGTGTTGATGGACAAGACATTCGGATTTTAGAAGTAAAACTAAGTTTGTGACTCAGGGATCACAGGATTTTTTTAAAATAGAGTGAAAAGGAGGGTTGTGGTGCTTGATGGAGTCTATATCCAGTGATGAGATAAAGGCTCACCCCCACTGACACCGCAGAGGTAACAGAGGCAGAACTAATGTTGCTGTGATCAGTCAAGCCTCACGTTCTCCCAGACAAAAGGTCATGCAAGCTAACTGCCCTGCTCGGGGTTACAGAGACAGCGGCAGGGCAGAGCCTGAACCGAATGCCACACTGTTTGCACCTCAAGGAAATTATTGTCACTCCTGCTCCTCCTAACTGGAAAAGTAAGCATCCTATTCTTTTTTTTTTTTTTTTTTTTTTTTTTTTACAACATCTCTTTTTCAAATTCCTTTCCTTTTCCCACAACCTGTTCTAAATGGCCCTGGACCAGTGTTAACTGTTGAAATACGGCACGATCAGAGGTGGGTAAGGTTGTCCAAGGAGGACTTCAATCAAGAATATGATTCAAAGAGCAGCAAATCACCAAGGACCAAATCTGTAGAATTTCCTGTTTCCAACGACCTGAGCACTTTGATGACGACTTTAATGATCAAAGCATTAACACAAGACTTGAACATTCGCAAAGCTCCAGGAACCATGCTGTGGGCTTTTCCTATGTTTACCTTCTTTTTCTTCCCCTTCCCTCCCTTCTCCCCACCCCCGAAGAGCATTAGAGAGAGGAGAGAGAGAGGAGAGGGAGAAGAGAGAGAAAGAGAGATCCTCCATTCCCTGATTCACTCCTCAAATGGTTGCAGTGTCTGAGGATGGTCCATGTTGAAGCCAGAAGTCTGGAACTCTGAGTTTCCCAGATTGATGGCAGAAGCTGAAATACTTGGGCCATCATCTGCTGCCCTCCCAGTTGCATTAGCGGGAAGCTGGACCAGAAGTGATGTAGTTAGGACTTGAACTTACACTCTGGTATGGGACACTGGCACAGTGATCTGTGGTTTAACTTGCTGTGCCACAATGCCAGCCCCTCCTTAGTTTTCTGACTCAATCCCAACGACCCTATACAATAGATTTCAAAGCCAACTAGCCCAGCCAGGTTTCCACACCAGAGCTGTTCCTGTAGGCTCTTAGCCATTCTGTCACACTCAGCCCACGGTACCTAGAAACCTGCGGCAGCACAAAGGCTCGGAGCACCAAGCCTGCTCGGAGGGACCCGCTGCTACGTCCCACTCATGACAACGGCCCCTCTCCCAGGACATTGGCTTCCAATGAAGAAGTTAACTTGCTCTGATCCCATGACACAGGGTTCTCTGGTTTTTTGAGAGCCAAAACTTGGTGAACACAGGGTACACCCAACACATGTCCTCTAGATTCATCCATGTTGTTGCCAGCGACAGGCTCTCACCATTTCCCATGGCTGAACTGTGTTGCATTGTCTGTATACACCGTGCTTTCTTTATCCATTCCTCTGTTGACAGACACTTAGGTGGACTCCGTATCTTGGCCCTAGTGCTGCAATAAACAGAGTGCAGATGTCTCTTCGACAGACTGATCTCATCTCCTTTGGCTATCTACCCAATAGTGGGAATGCTACAATCACAGGGCTGCTCTATTTTTAATTTTTTCAAAAGGACACTTAACCATTTTATGCCAACAGTTTTGGCAAGTGATGTGAAATGCACATACTTCTTCAAAACCAAGTTCAGAAAACCGACATGGAAAGAACACATTTTTAAGGCTCTTTTGTGAGTTCTTGAGCAAATCTCACCAGAGCCATGGAGACAGATTTCTAGGCAGCCAAGGCTGGGGGTGAGGGCAGGCTCTGTGCCAGGGGACAGGGAACCGAGTCGGTGCGTAAGGTTATCTTCATAGATACGCAGTGTCCTAAAGGGTTTTGTCACTTGTAGGCCTGGCTGATCCGATTCTAAATAAGAACCACTTAGGCTTCAGGGCCCTCAAACAAGACAAACCTGATTCAGCAGGCAGGACAAGGGTGGAAAGCCATCTCTTCCATGGCTACTGGAAAGATGGAGCCCGGGCCTTCCCTGGATGTTAACCACCTGGGGCCTCTAGGGGACAGTCATCAGGGAGCAACCGTATAGAATGGATGATGTGCATAGAGGCGTTATCAGAAAAAACTAGCATTTTAGCCAGGTCCCCAACCTCTATGGTTTTGACATTTTTAAATTTTTCTTTATTAAATTGAGAGAGAGCGAGAGAGTTTTTCTATGCTTTTTATATGCATGCCCTCTTCCAAACACATTGTTTTCTCTGTGCCTGGAGAAAAGCAAAGCTTAAGTGATGTTCTTCCTAAATAAGAAGGAACAAAAGAAAACAAAAGAGTATCAAGCTAAAAAACTGTGACAGAAAGTAATAAAGTGAATCTAAGGATGGCAGAAGAAATAAAAGATAAAAGCAGACATAAGCAAATTAGAAAACAGAATAATAGAATTATCAGAGAGATCAAAGAGCCAGCTCCGTTAAAAGACTAAAAATAAATAAATAAATAATAAGAGAGAGACAGAAACCTCTGGCAATGTTACATGAGCACAAAAGAAAACAGAAATAAATCCCACTGGAATCGAAAAGGTCTAGAAACATAGATGTGAGAGAAGATCGAAGTTCAAAGCTTCCCATGCTTGAACGTGCTGACCACAGGAAGACAACAACCGTACTGAAGAAGAGGCGGGAACACGGACTGGACTGGTGTTACACGAAGCTGACAAACGACGCCAGCAGGCGGGCAAATTCTGTCCACCCTTAAGGGAAGAGGCACTTTCTGGAGTACAAAAAAGTCTGTGTCCTAATCAATTTTACAATACAGGCCCAACCCAGCTAGCACAGTACTTAGAAAAACAGACAGGCAGAGAGAGATGGTGATGGAGAGGGACGGGGGAGGGAGGAGGAAGAGGAAGAGGAACGGGGAGGGAGAAGGAGAGGGAGAGAGGAAAACATGAACTCTATAGGTCAAACTTATTTAGGGACAGTGTAGTGGGCTGAATCCTCTCTCTGTAAAATCCACGTCTACCTGGAATCCCAATTCATGCTCCGATTTCGAAATCGGGTCTTTGCAGATGTAATTCTGTGGTGAGGTAATGCTGTGGTGAGGGTAGGCCCTAAAGCCAGTGACTGGTGTCCCTATAGGAAGCGGAGAGGACACAGAGAGACACAGGAAGGCAGAGGCGGGGATCGGGGAGACGCAGCCACAAGCCCAGGGCCACAGGAGATGGGGAGGAACTGTTCAAAGCTGGGAAGAGGTAAAGAAGGATCCTTCCTCAGAGCCTGCACTTTGATCTCACACTTCCAGCTCCCAGCGCCGGGACAAAATGAATCTCTGTGTTTTAAAAACCACCAGCCCTAGGAACACACACACACACACAGAGGCAAGGGTTTTTCTGTTTCTCTTGGTGACTTTGTAAGGAAGAGAATATATGGGCTGTACATTCACCACCTAGGAAATGAATGAACAAAGTCCCGATGTGCCTTCCTGTTGCAGGTCTCTGGCCATGGGTGGCCTCATGCCCACCTGAACAATGCACTCAGCAACAGGTTTTCCCCAAGCAATGTGGGCCTGGGGGTCAAAGTTCAAAGGCAGGTCCACCATGTGGTCCAAATACTGGAAAGCTCTAAGTCAAGCTAACAAACTGTGTTTGCATCCCTCTTGATAAATACATTTCATAACCACTTGGAAAGCCCTCCCAGGTCCCTCAGGGTTCTGAGCTGTTCTCTAACCATGCAGGGCAAGTTGGACACCCCAGCTCCATCCTGCATCATGACAGCCCTAGGGGAGAGGACCATGCTCTGTCCATAATCCACACCATTAGTCACGGTGGTCTTCCTGGGGAGAACAGACCCAGTGAACTGGCTACAGGCAGCCTCAGACCACTTGGATAGAGAATTCCGGGGTCCTGGTATCCAGAACAGCTCTGGAAGGCAGGGGACACAGGGTCCAGCCACCCGGGGCCCCAGAGGTCCCAGTTCCAAGGAGACCAAACCCTTGTGTAGAGTCTGTGTCCTCAGGCCTCCAGGCTCCCCACCTGCTGTGAAGGCGTGAGGTTGGGGAAGTCAGGGTGGGAGCCCCTGAAGCAAAGGCAGAGCCTGCCTGGGGCAGAGAGAGGAGCTGCTCAGCTGTTTGTCCCCTCTACAGCACGGCTCAGACATACTGACCCACAGCTGCAGGGATGTCCGAGAAGGGACCAGGTCACAGCCTCAGCAGGTGCTTTGGACAGCTCTGTGCTCTCTCTCTCTCCTGAGCTCTTTCTCCTTTTCTCAGAGTCTCTAAGAACACAACACAGAGGGATTCATTGATTGGAAGCAACGCAGCTTTCTGACCTTTCCCCCTTCCGTCATCACATGCACTAATCCACAGGCTTGTCTGGGCGGGCCGGACGGAGTCTTAGCGTCTTATTACCTCTCCCTTCTCTCTCAGCAAGGCGTCACGTTATGCAGCCAAAAAATGAGGACAGTGGTGTTCACGAGACTCGGAGGCATCAGGCAAGGTACAAGGCTGAGAAATGTGATATTTGGGGCTAGCACTGTGGTTCAGCGGGTTGAGCTCGCCACGTGGGCATCTCCTATGAGCACTGATTCGAGTCCTGGCTGCTCCACTCCCTGCTAATGTGGCTGGAAAGGTATCCAAAGATGGTCCAAGCACGTGGATCCCTGCCATCCACATGCGAGACCCAGATGGAGTTCCTGGCTCCTGAGTCTGGCCTGACCCTAGTCATTGTGGCCATTTGGGCAGTGAATCAGCGGGTAGAAGGTCTCTCTCTCTCTGTTACCCTGCTTTTCAAACAAATCTATCATTTTCTTCTATTTTATAACCCTTAACTAAAACATAATACAAAACCCAAATCCATATTTAAAAGAATAGTATGACATCACAAAGTATAGCTTAATTCCACAGATCACACACATAAGGATAGTTCAATCTAAGAACATTTATGGATCCCTAACACTCAGATGACGTAGAAGAAAAGCATGCCAGCTAACAGGCGTTTCTCTCCTACACACAATGCTCTTGTCAAACTGGGAAGAGAGATGGAGAACATGGAAAACAGTATTTATCTCAGATCCAGAGCCCACAAAATATTGGTCAGAGGACGGATGTATTTTTACTAACCAGGATAGGGCAAGAACGCCTGGTGTTACTACTTAACACATTCTTAGATTTTGAAAGTTCCAGCCAAAGTGAGGGCTACTGTCAGCCTGGGTGGAGTGTGACCATCAGACCGTCTATCTGACTTCACTGGTGCTGAAAAAGTTGAGTTCATTTTCAACATTTAAAATACCCACAAACTTGACCTTTGGCACATCTTAAAAAAAAAAAAAAAAAAAAAAAACAAAACCAAAAAACGAAAACAAAACAAAACAACAAAACTCTGACCCTCTGTTAGCCCCAGACCTGTTTCTCTAGTCGCAGAAATGGGCTGGGGCTGGGAGAGGGCTCCCCCTTTGGACCTGGCCTGGGATCTCCTGTTTGCCAAAGGCTGCACCTCGCTCAGTTCACTCTTCCATGGTGACTTTCCTGGGCTGCCTGGGCACCTGAATTCCTGAACCCAATGAATGAGACAAGAAATTGAATATATATAAATATTAGAAAGGAAACAACAGTATCATGAGTTTTTAAAGATCTTTATTTATGAAAGAGATGGGGGAGGGGAGTAAGAAATGGGGAGAAAGAGAGAAAGTATCTCCCATCTGCTAATTCACTCCCCAAGTATCCACAACAGCTGGGCCTGACACCAGGAGCAGGGAACCCAAACCAGATCTCCCACATGGGTCCCTGCCACCCATGGCAGGGACCATCACTGGCTGCCTCCCAGGGTATGCACTAGTAGGAAACTGGAATTGGGAGTACAGCTGGGACTGGCACTTGAATACAGGATGCCAATGTCCTAAGTGTCATCTGACCTCTGCACCAAATGCCCACCCTTCAATATTTTTAAATGAAGCAATGGTCTACTTGTAATATTCAAGAGAATCAGTTGTAAAACTATTACAGTGAGAGTGGGTAGGAGGGTGGGTACGGTGAGAAGTATTATGTTCCTAATGTTGCATTTATGAGATATATGCAAATAAATAAAAATATTACAGTGACTACAAGTTCTGTAAGATGGTCAGTTATGAAATCCATAAAACTTCATTTCCTCTTGGGGATGGGGAATCTTTTTTCTGCCAAAGGTGATTTGGATATTTTTAACATTATTCATGGGGCACACAAAATTATCAACTTAAAAATTAGCCTGCTTTAGATTTACTGAATTCTGATTCCAACCTGCAGTTGACTTGTCAAGACCAGACCATAAGTTTCTGTGGGCCTTATATGGCCCATGGGCTATCTGTTGCCCACTGCTATATAACTGGCCAGGGCTGGGGTGGGAGTTCAGTCATAATTTGCAACAACAACAAATACTTTGAAGTAGTTGGGCAAGAAATGTGCAGTAGGTATTTGAATCAAGCTACAAAATAATGAAGAACATGAAATGAAGAAACACTGTATTTTCTAATACTGCAAGGATGCCCATCATTACCAAAATATCACAAATGTAATATAATTCCAATAAAAATTTTATACATATTTTTTCTTAAAACAACCAGAATCTTTTTTTTTAAAAAAAAGATTTATTTATTTGAAAGGTACAGTTAAGGGGGGAGGAGAGGATGGGGGACCCATCTTCCACTGTTTTCCCAGATCTATCAGCAGGGAGCTGCATCTGAAATGGAGCAACCGGGACTTGAACCGACGCCCATATGGGATGCTGGCGTTGTAGGTGAGCTTCACCTGCTATACCAAATGCCAGTCCCAGCCACCAAAATCTGAAATGCTCATCTGGAATAATAAATACTTGAGGATGTCTGCTTAGCCAATAAATACTTCAAAGAGCACAATATTAGAGAGGCATCCTCTAACAAATTATTAAAATTTATTCTAAAATGCTAATTAAACATATGATTACAGAGCAATCAACATAACATAGGAAAAGAATTAGAAGCACTGAAACATACCCAAGTACAAACATCAATGCAAAGGTACTGCAAACAGTTCACACAGGGCTGGTGTTGTAGTTCAGCCCGTTAAGCTATGGCTTGCGACGCCAGCTTCAAATACTGAAGTGCTGGTTCAAATCTTGGCTGCTCTGCTTCCAGTCCAGCTCTCTGCTACTGTGCTTGGGAAGGCAGCAGAAAATGGTACAAGGAGATGGCCATCTGCCACACATGTGGGAGACCAGTATGCTTGTACATACCAAAAAGCTAAATATGTCATTATTTTATGTTTAGGGATTCTCACTTATTAAAATTGATCTTGAAAAAATCATGGATGTGTATAAAGGTTTGATGTAAAAGATACTCATTTCATCACTGCCTCTAATAGGGAACAATCAGCAACAATGTAAGGGTCAATAATGAAGTCCAAGGTTGATCTGCGTGTATGGATGCACCAGCCAGCATCCATTCTGATTGGCTGGTGGCTGTGAGGCACATTTGATACATATTTTAGATACCACTCACTCAGGGAATACTTTGTACCAACCAGATAACCATGGAGAAGACCATTTATGAAGTTGACAAGCTGCATACAAAACCAGGTAAATATTTACAAAATAGCATACATAGAAGACTCCATTTAAAGTGAAATTTATATATACAAAAATAGAAAAATGTCCAAAATTCATGTTGAAGTGCTACAAATAGCTCTCTAATGATATAAAATTATACATTTGCCTGCCCATATTTTCTAATAATCACACACATTTCTAGGTGTATAATAGTCCTCCCTTATCTGCAGTTTTATTTTCCATGGTTTCTGTTGCCCATGATTGAAAGTGACAATATATTTAATATTTTAAAGACTTGTTTATTTTTAAAGTGAGAACCAGAGAGAGAGTGAGGTATCTTCCATCCATTGCTTTACTCCCCAAATGGCCACAATGGCCAGGGCGGGGCCGGGCCAAAGCCAGGAGCCAGGAACCAGGCGCTTCATCTGGGTCTCAGCCATGGGTGCAGAGGCCCAAGGGCTTGGGCCATCTTCCACTGCTTTCCCAGGTGCATTAGCAGGGAGCTGGATTGGAAGTGGAGCAGCAGGGACTCAAGCTGCTGCCCATAGGGGATGCTGGTGTCACAGGTGGCAGCTTTACCCATATGTCACAGAGCTGGCCCCAATATATCTATTTTAAATGTATCTGAAAGGCAGAGAGAAGGAGAGCTCTCATCTGATCCCCAAATATCCACAGCAGTTAGGGCTGGGCCATGACTGAGGCCAGGAGCTGGGAACTCAGTCCAAGTCTCCCATGTGAGTGGCAGGAACAAAGTTACGTTGACTGCAGACATCACTGCCACCTCCCAGGGTCTGCCTGGCAGGAAGCTGGAGTCGGAGCACAGTCAGTCTGATGTGCTCAACTACTTAACTGCCAAATGCCTGACCCTGAATATACCAGTATTTTGGGGCCAGTGTTGTGGCATAATAGGTTAAGCCTCTGCCTGCAGAGCCAGCATCCCATATGGGCACTGGTTTGTGTCCCAACTGCTTTTTTTTTTTTTTTTTTTGACAGGCAGAGTGGACACAGAGAGAGAGAGACAGAGAGAAAGGTCTTCCTTTGCCGTTGGTTCACCCTCCAATGGCCGCCGTGGCCGGCGCGCTGCGGCCAGCGCACCTCACTGATCCAAAGGCAGGAGCCAGGTGCATATCCTGGTCTCCCACGTGGGTGCAGGGCCCAAGCACTTGGGCCATCCTCCACTGCACTCCCGGGCCACAGCAGAGAGCTGGCCTGGAAGAGGGGCAACCGGGACAGAATCCGGCGCCCTGACCGGGACTAGAACCTGGTGTGCCAGCGCTATGGCCTGGGAAAGCAGTGGAAGATGGCCCAACTGCTTGGGCCCCTGCACCCTTGTGGGAGACCTGGAGGTAGCTCCTGGCTCCTGGCTTTGGATTGGCCCAACTCTGGTTGTTGTGGTCATTTGGGGATTGACAGCAGATGGAAGACCTCTCTTTCTGTCAGTCCCTTTCTCTGTCTGGAACTCTGCCTCTCAAATAAAAAAAATACTATTATTTTGTCTTAGCTCAATAGAGACCATATTCACATAATTTGACTACAGTATATTGTCATAATTGTTCTGTTTTATTGCTGCTGTTGTTAACCTCTTATTGAAACTGATAAGTAGAGCTTTATTGCAGGAGTGTGTGTGGGGGGTGGGGTGGGGGCTTGGTTCTCTCTATGGTTTTAGGCATCTGCTTTGGGGCTTGGAATATACCTCTTATGGATACAAGGAAGGCTAATATAATGGCTTTTGCCTAAGTTCACTTTTTTAATATAATGTTTTACTCTAGCAGATGTGACTCTAGGGTCAAGGAAGAGAATTCTAAAGAGGATCCTTAGCTAGGGTGAGAGAAGTTAGACAGATGTTGTTGATGGGTATACAAAGGGTTATAGCCTTTCAGGAGAACTTTCTATATCAAGAAAGTTGCTATGGAAATAAATCTATAAAGGGGCCAGCGCTGTGGCACAGCAGGTTTAAGCCGTGGCCGGAAGCACGGGCATCCCATATGGGCGCCGGTTCTAGTCCCAGCTGCTCCACTTCTGATCCAGCTCTCTGCTGTGGCCTGGGAATGCAGTAGAGGATGATCCAAGTCCTTGGGCCCCTGCACTCACATGGGAGACCCGGAAGAAACTCCTGGCTCCTGGCTCCGGATTGGCACAGCTCCGGCTGTGTGGCCATCTGGGGAGTGAACCAGCACATGGAAGATCTCTCTCTCTCTGTCTTTACCTCTCTAACTCTTTCAAATAAATAAAATAAATATTAAAAAAAGAAATAAATCTATAGAAAAATAATTTGAGAGGCATTTGGTGTAGCAGGGGTGCCACCATCTGGGATATCTACGTCCCATAACAGAGTTCCTGGGTTTGAATCCTGGCTCAGCCTTGGAGTTCTAGCTTCCTGCTGACCCACGCCCTGGGAGGCAGTGGTGAGGGCTCACGCAGTTGTGTCCCTGCCACACTGTGGGAGAGATCCAAGTTGAGTTCCAAGGTCCTGGCTTCACCTGGCCCCGCCTTGGTTGTTGTGGGCATTTGGGGAAGGAACCAGCACATAGGCGATCTGTCTCTGCCTTTTAAGTAATTTTTTTAAAAAAGAAAAAGCTTAATTTCTTTTCTAAAAGATGAAAGTTCTTTTTTACTTCTCCATAGTCCAGACTTAATGAGGTCATGATATGTTTACAACCAGGAAAAAAAAAAAAGTGTCACAAAGTAGCCAATGGGTAGGATAAAACTGCCAGGGTGCTAAATCCCACTGTGCCTGGGCCCCTCCCCCATCAACACACCCCTTCCCTCCCTCCTTAGCCGTAACCTCACCCCTGGACTTCTTTCTCCGTCCCACCTGTCCCTCCCCGGGTTTGTCTGCCAGGACATCATTCTCTTCTTGGAGCTCTAGTCTAACCTGGCAGAAATTAATTTCCTGAAAGCCCACCTATCGAATTTGTTTTCCAAAACCAACCACTGGCCTAAATGATCTAATTCACCTATTCTCTAAAACTACAAGTTTTAATAGCTGTGGCTGCAAATAGCTTGAAAGGCAATGCTGAGTTTTGGTTTTTGATGATAACAATGTACTTTTAGTATTTTTATAGGAAAATTTTGATTTATATTAATTTTCCCTGAAATATACATTTAGAATTTTCAAAGATAAAGTATAAGGCAAAAATCCACATTCCTATGAGCTGTATTGTAATTGGTTTACATTGCTTTTTAAGTAATTATTTTAGTTTTAAAGAAAGGGATAAAGAGCCAGTCCACTGATTCACTCCCCAAATGGCCACTGTGGTTTTGGCTAGGCTGGTCTGAAGCCAGGAGTCTGGAACTCCATCAAGCTCTCTCCTGTGGGCCCAAGCAGTTGGGCCATCCTCCACTGCTCTCCCAGTGCATTAACAGGAGGCTGTATTGGAAGCAGAGCAGCTGGGACTACAACTGGTGCTCCAATGTGGGTCGCCACCATTGCAAGCGGCAGCTTAACCTGCTGTGCCACAATGCCAGCCCCCTATTTTTTTTTTTTACCATACCTTTGTTCAATATTTTAGTTTTCATAACTTAGTGATGATGAGGGTTTTTTTTTTTTAAGGTTTTTATTTATTTGAAAGGTAGAGCTATAGAGACAGAGACAGAGAGGGTAAGACAGAGGGAGAAATCATCCATCCGCTGATTCACTCCCCAAATGGCCACAACAGTCAGGTCTGGGCCAGGCTGAAGCCAGGAGCTTCATCTGGATCTTCCATGGGGATGCAGGGACCCAAGTACTTGGCCATCTCCTGCTGCTTTCCCAGGCGCATCAGAAGGGAGTTGGACTGGAGCTGGAGCAGCCGGGACTCGAACCGGTGCACATCTGGGATTCTGCTGTCTCTGGCGGTGGTTTAGCCCACTATGCCACAATGCCGGCCACAATGCCGGCCCCAATGATGGGGGATTTTAAACACGTCAAGGAAATTAATTTGTTCTTCTTTGGACTTTTTAATATCTTTTCTTGCCAAATCTTTAAGCAAACTGCTACTCAGTAATATATTCAAAATGATCCCTGTTACCAAATAAAATTTTAAGTGCCAGTGTTGTGGTGCAGTGGGTTAAGCCGCTGCTTGCGATGCTGGCATCCCATATGGGAGCACTGGTTCGAGTCCTGGCTGCTCTACCTCTTACCCAGCTTCCTGCTGATGTGCCTGGGAAGGCAGCAGGAGATGGCCTAAGTACTTGGGTCCCTGCCAGTCACACCAGGTTGAAGTTCCTGCCTCTTGGATTGGGTCTGGCCCAGCCCTGGCTGTTGTGGCCATTTGGAGAGTGAACGAGCTGATGAAAGATCTGTCTGTCTGCTTCTTCCCCTCTCTGCCTTTCAAATAAGTAAATAAATAGATCTTTCAAAAGAAGAAAATTTTAGCATTTTTCAGGGAAGTACTGTTTCAGCTAACCTTACTCTCTGTAGTGTTTTCATATATATATATATATATATATATATATTTTTTTTTTACAGGCAGAGTGGACAGAGAGAGAGACAGACAGGGAGAAAGGTTTTCCTTTGGTTCACCCTCCAATGGCCGCTGCGGCTGGCACAAAGCGCTGGTCCGAAGCCAGAAGCCAGGTGCTTCTCCTGGTCTCCCATGCAGGTGCAGGGCCCAAGCACTTGGGCCATCCTCTACTGCACTCCCAGGCCACAGCAGAGAGCTGGACTGGAAGAGGAGCAATTGGGGTAGAATCCGGCGCCCCAACTGGGACTAGAACCCGGTGTGCCGGCGCCGTAGGCGGAAGATTAGCCTATTGAGCCGCGGCGCCGGATTTCAGATTTCTTTGGCATATTTTACATTAAAATTTAATAGGTTTAAAATTGAATTCCCATAAGGCCGGTGCCGCAGCTCAATAGGCTAATCCTCCACCTAGCGGCGCCGGCACACCGGGTTCTTGTCCCAGTCGGGGTGCCGGATTCTGTCCCGGTTGCCCCCATTCCAGCCCAGCTCTCTGCTGTGGCCCAGGAATGCAGTGGAGGATGGCCCAAGTGCTTGGGCCCTGCACCCCATGGGAGACCAGGAGAAGCACCTGGCTCCTGCCATCGGATCAGTGCGATGCGCCGGCCGCGGCGGCCATTGGAGGGTGAACCAATGGCAAAAGGAAGACCTTTCTGTCTCTCTCTCTGTCCACTCTGCCTGTCAAAAAAAAAAAAAAAAAAATTGAATTCCAACTGAATTCACTTTTACATGTAATGCATTTATGTGTAAGCCTGATGTGCCATCAAAGGAACTGGTAAAAGATCATTGTAAATGCTTACAGTTTGGACAGAAAAAGACATTCGGCAGTATTATAATTAGATAGATATTAGAAAAACAAAAGCAAACATGTTTGACCTGAAACGCTTAAGCTTTTGTTGGTCAACATTTCATAAGAAAAAAATTCAATTTATTCCTGTTCCTTCTTTGCCACCCCGTATGAAGTAGCATTTCATAACACTAATTTGCTAAGTGGCATTGCCAACCTTAAATTACTTAAGAGTCAGAAAAGTGTTTCTCTCACTCAGACTCGGAACTGGAATAGTCCAATTAAATATTCCTATTAAAGGCAATCAGTATCACTGGCAAGTCTGGTGTGGGTCATTTGGCAACATTGTATCTATGTAATCGATTTTTCTGGGAGTTGGCCACGAGATGATTTGATCAAGAGTTGACCGCTCTACACTGATTATTTTAATTCAATTTCTTAATGAAATTATGTTCTTTGTACTATCTTCTCCATCTGACAGATGAGAAAACAGAGGTTCTAGCCAGATGGGTCATCTGAGATATGAACGCAGGCTGCGTGAGCCCAGAGCTTCCCTGGACTCTTCACTTCCGTGCCCCCAGTCTCGGCCAGCTCTCTGCTACTGATGGCAACACAAACTATTACATCAGGTATCACTTCTTCCAGGAAGCCTACCCTGACTTCTACCATGAGGTCGGGGGTGCTCCTGTTTCCAGTGAATGCTGCTCCTGTCTCAATCATAAAGCGCATCGTGCTCTGAGAGTGTCCGAAGGCGCCGTGAACTGCATGGGAGTCCCAGTCCCTCGGGCACGCCCCGGCCCACACGGCTGCTCAGCTCCGCGGATGCAGGGTGCGTCCAGCCTCCTGTGCTCGGAGCGCTCATCTTCTGGAGCATTCTCTCAGCTGCGCTGCAGGAGCTGGACCTCTGGCTTGGGCAGCCAGCCAGAGGCAACCCCGTCAGCCCTGCAAGGCGTTCCCTCCACGTGGTTTCTCTACATGGAGGATGGGGCCGGTGCAGGCTGAGTAGGAGTCAGTGCCACTCCCAGGGAGCTAAGAAGAGAGGCCTGAGGCCAGTGGCTTTCTTCTATTTTGTCTCTTTCTCCTTCTCATCACCCTATTTTCTTCATCACGAACACGCTCTCTCCCCAGGGCAGAAGGTAGCTCCAGGAAAGTGTGGGACTCGGGCTTACTCTAGTAACTTGGCCCAAAGCGTCTCAATAATCCACTAGCATATTAGGGAAAAAATGAGGAGTACCAAAGAAAGTTGGTTTTATGTAATTTATTTAACATCATGACCACTCCTCTAACAGCCTTTTTTTTTTTTTGCTAAATTTTATTTATTTTACTAGAAAGGAGACAGACATCTGCTGGCTGACTCTCCAAGTGCCTGCAAAAGTCAGGGTGGGGCCAGGCGGAAGCCAGGCACTGGGAGCTCAATCCGGTCTCCCTTGTGGGTGGCAGGCCTCCCGCCCCCCCCCCCCCCCCCGGTGGAGCCATCATCTGCTGCCTCCCAAGGAGGTGCATTAGCAGGAAGCTGGAACTGGGAGTAGAGCCAGGACTCGAACCCAGGCACTCTGACATGTGACACGGGTATACCAAGTAGTATCTTAAATACTAGCCCAAACATCCACCCCGGCTTTTATAAATATCTCTAGAATATTATCTAATGTAGTCAGATTAAAACAAATCATCACCAATTTAAAATGACCTTAAAGCAATCAAGATATAAAGAGAAGTAAGAAAAATCATGAGGTTATAAGTTATAAAGAACACAGGAGGCTAGAATTGGAGTAACAGGCCTGCAAAGATTAGAAGCATTCTCTCTCAGAAAACAAAGGTGCTCACCGTCACCCACCTAGCCAACTCCGTGTTGGAGAACCTACAGTGTAGTAAGAAAAACCATCTGGAGGCATAGAGATTGGAAAGGAGAAAATAAAACTGTTCTAACTTTCAGGTAACATGATTATAAGAGGATATTTCAAAAAGTTTGTGGAAAGTGGAATTAAAAGAAATGCTTATGTTGGTGAAAGCAATTTTGAAGTCCATACATAGATGGTTCTTTAAAAAGTTCCTGGAAAATGCATATTATAAAAAACGATGCAAGAATTTCAAAAACTTTTGCATCCACATAAATGCATCTCTTAATTCCATTTTTCCATGAAGCTTTTGACATGCGCACATCACTCACCACTAGAGCAGAAGCAAGCCCAGGAACAGACTGTATACAAAATAGAATTTCAGAATATGATAGGCACCCAAATAAATAACATTTTAGATCCTTACTTGATATTATAAATAAATGAAATCAACTTTAAAAGCCAATAATATAAAATACAGATGAATATATTTTAGATGCTATGGTGGCAAAGACTTGAACGCTTTCTTAAAAGATTTCTTAAAAAAAAGCATTAGGTATAAAAGTTTGATACGTATCACTATCAGAACTTCTGTTCACCAAAAGATACCTTAAAGAAAATTTAAAAAAATACAACAAAGGAGGCTGGCGCCGCGGCTCACTAGGCTAATCCTCCACCTTGCGGCGCCGGCACACCGGGTTCTAGTCCCGGTCGGGGCGCCAGATTCTGTCCCGGTTGCCCCTCTTCCAGGCCAGCTCTCTGCTGCGGCCCAGGAAGGCAGTGGAGGATGGCCCAAGTGCTTGGGCCCTGCACCCCATGGGAGACCAGGAGAAGTACCTGGATCCTGCCATCGGATCAGCACGGTGCACCGGCCGTAGCGCAGCGGCCATTGGAGGGTGAACCAATGGCAAAAGGAAGACCTTTCTCTCTGTCTCTCTCTCTCTCACTGTCTAACTCTGCCTGTCAAAAAAAAAAAAAAAATACAAAGGATTAGTGTTGATAATATACTAAGTATGCCTTTAATAAGAGACTATAAACTATAGAAAATGGCAAAAACCAGAGACTTAGCAGATTAAGAAAGGAGTCTTGTTGACCAATCAGGTACAAGATTGTAAAAGTGAGAATCAAGACCAGAATGAGGCACGGCATAGCTTTTCCACCTTGAACCAGCAACACTTGAAAAGTCTGACTTTAACAAGTGCCGGAGAGGATGCCGGTCCCCGACTGTCTTACAGCACTGACTCCGGTGTAAACCAACACAATCTCTTCAGCAAACAGGGGGGCCCTGCACCGTCCACCCCCACAATTCCCTCCCAGGTGTTTACCTAAGAGAACGCTGGTCATGTGCAAGAGATAGGTGCTAGCCTCTTCCCAGCAGTTCTGATTACAATACCTAGAACCTGTGAACAAGCCACGCAATCAGCAGGGAGAGGGCCGTTAAGTAAACTGAGGTTGGTTCATTTAATGAAATGTTATGGGGAGGCCCGAACAAATGAATGACAATGAGCAGCAACTGAGTGAATCTCCAAGATGACTAAGTACTAAAAAAAATTACACTTTTTTACAGAGTTAAGGATATATATTTCTACACAAGCCCAGTTTTGGTAATGCATATAACACACATAAAATTAATACAACTGTATAGAAAAAAGCAAGGGAATATTAAACACCTAAGTCAGGCCGAGGGTTCCCTTTGGCGTGGAAGAAGCAGGGGAGTAGGACGTATGGTGGGTTTCCACGGTTAGGTATGGGTGACGGTCTAGTTGTCAGGACCCTCGCTTTTCCTGGGGGAGGGGCTCACTTCGTGAGCACTCCCTGTATCATTTTTAAAAACTCAGTGGAAGTAGGTCATGCACGCGTCAATGACGTATTCCACAAACCAGGCATCAGAAGTACTCCAGTCCTGTGCACCCGTGGTCCGATTAAAACACAAACACCATCTATGTTAAACACAAAGCACACTCCGCTCGGGCCAGCAGGACTGGGAACCGGAGCAAACACAGGCAAGCTCAGGCTTGGCGTTCCTGCTAAAAGCCACGTAACAAAAGCATTTGCAGGTCACTCTGAGGACTACATGAAGCAGACCTACCTGGAGAGCGTCTTCCCTTTGAGAAACCGTCTCTCCCATCTCTAAACCGTCCTCGACACTGCCCGGCGAAACCGCCAACAGCCAGCAGAGTCCGAGCCGCGGAGCGCTGGCTTCCTGCTTCTCAAGCCCGCTAAACGCCCTCACCTGCTCCGGGACTCGGGAGCGCGTGCTATCTTATTCCTCTAAGCATTCAACGTGAAACAAGGCCTTCCTTGGCAGGTGGCCACGGAGAAGTATATTTTTACAGCTTCTGTAACCGAGGCTCACGGCACCCAGAATTCTGCAGCGCACGCCAGGCCGAGAAGGTCTGGCCATTTCCAGGCAATGACTGTTGGCTATTTGTTTTTCAAAGATAAATACTACGTTCCAGTAACTCCGTGATCACAAATACAAAAGCTGGCGCGGTGTTTCGGATCCCCTAAGACCAGGAAAAAACATCTTAAATCCCATCTGGGGGCCAGGCTCTGTGTTTTGGCCCGCGGTAGGTACATTGTGAATGTTAGCTGAATAAACTGGCATTGTTTTCCAAGTAATAATTTTGCAGATCCTGGGGTTCCCGAGAAAAATACACAGGGAATGCAATGCTCTTGCTCCAGATTTCCTATAGAAAAATGGATCTTAAAAGTCTGAATGGGTCTAGGCAGATGTATCCAGAGGCAGAGCTGAGATTTTGGGGCTGTCTTTGGAAATTAAGGGCAAGGATAGTCTCATGCTGTGTGAGGTCAGCTCCAGTGGAGACACACCCTCAAAATAGATTCAGAATCCGGAGAATCGGAACACACACACACACACACACACACACAGTGAGTTCCAGCGCCCGGCTGAGGGGACGACAAAGCTCTCCTACGTGAAGAAGTCCCCAAACCACTGTGTTGGGGGGAGAAGAAGTCCCCAAACCACTGTGATGGGGGGAGCCACGTTGTTTGAAACAGCGCACATTCTCAGAGTCCAAGTGACTCCACGCGTAGACGCTAGTTCCCAATTGAGGTCATTTGTAGCCTAAAAAAAAAAAAAATCTGGGCCATGCCTCCCCTCGTGGCTGCTTGTTCGTTAATTAACTCCACCTGCTAAGTTGAACTTCTCCACCCCACCCCCAACCCCTGCCTTTCGCCATCTAAGCACATCCGTGTCCGTTTTGTCCCGCAGTGATTCGCTGGCAGCCCTGCGGGGTGTGTGTTGCGGGGCTTGGGCGCACTGGCCCACGCGGAGGCCCCGACACGCCACCCCTCTCGCCTCTGCCCACTCCACGCCTGTGGCCAGCCCGGGCTGCCCGCACCCTGCAGCTCAAGGAACCGCCTCAGCGGGACCCCACCTCCGCCAGGACGACCCCGAGGTCAACCCCCGGGGCACGAACTCTGAGAAGCGTGCTTCGGCTTCCACGGAAGCCCAGGGTCGCGCACCCGGCCACTGCTAGGATCCACTCAGGACCTGCCTCTTCCTTGGTGGGAAGCAGCCCCCTACCCAGCAAGGGTCCTCCGATCGATGAGGACGAGCCACGCTGGCAGTCGGACATTTTGGTGCCCCTCTCCCGCGTCACGGCTGAGGCAGGGCCGCCCGGATCCCGGGTGCAGCCCGTCCCCCCGCGCGATGTCCGCGGATCCCCCACGAAGCCGGCGCGGGCCGTGACTCGCCGGCGCCCCCTGCCGGAACCGACCGGGAAACGCCGCGTTCGTCGGGAGCCGCACGCTCTCCGCCTTCCCGCCGCACGCGAGAGCGCGGCGAGCGGCCACCGCACCTCACGCCCACTGCTCAGCGACAGGAGGGCGGCGTGAGTCACACGCCCTGCCCACGCCGCAGCCATTAAACCACGTAACGACGGCTGCAGGCCGCCCCCGTGGGAGAGCGAGGAGTTGGGACAGCCTGGCCAGAGGAAGCCGGACTTGCGTGTCCAGCAGCCAGTGCCTTCTTGGCCCCAAGCAGACGGGAGCAGCGGTGCTGTGGTCCAGGCAGAGCGGACGGCCCCCGCAAGTCAAGGCCCGGCTGTTCCGGCGCGTGGAGGCGAAGGAGAACGAATCCCCATAGCAACTCGGCCGCCCCGGCTGCAGGACGCTCCGTGGGACCGAAATAAAAACCGCGAGCCAGGCTTCGGATCGGCCAGTGGCACCTGCTGTTGGCGGGGGCTGGCCCGCCTGCCGACACGTGTATCACTGGGAGGGGTGCTTTCAGTGATGGGTTACAGAGGGGCTCTGGGCTGTTCCCCGCGGCTTTTGCTGTCACCCAGCAGCCTGGTCCCCTGGAATAGGAATGTTGGTCTTTAACACTCTTACAGAAACAGGTTTTCTGTAGGTGTGCGCAGAAGAAAATGCAAAAGCCCTCCCCTGGCTCCCTCTGTGCCGAGCTTTGGTTGCGTCAACTGTGGGCTCTCTCTCTGGCACCTGCCTTCTCCCATTCTGTGCCCTCGTCCGTCACCAGCCAGCAGTCGCCCCGTGTTTTTCCCACTCTGCACCCTCCCCATGGCTTCCTCAGCGCCTCGTTCCAGCCAGGGATCCCGGGACAGTCCCCATCGCTGCAGCCTAAGGCCTTGGGGCTCACACCCTGCAAGTTCAAGTTCTCTGCGGCTCTGGCTGCTGCATGGTTCTGGTCCCCCGTCCTCCCAGTTCCTAAACGCCGGCACTCTCTAACCTTCTGGCCGCCTGCCCTTTCAGGCTCCCCCTCATTGCGTGCTGACTCAGGGCCGTGAGCTTGATTCAGTGCCCATGTGTGTACCTCAACCTAGCAATCAACTCGGTTAAAGCCACAAACGCAGGTTCTTCCCCAGGCTTCGGGTGCTTCCATTCTACAGTCTCATCACCACCCGAGCCCAGAAGCGGCCTCATGGGGACTCTTCCTGGGTGCATGTCCTTGGCCACTATCTTGGGGTCCTTCTTGTCTCCAAAGCCATCAGCCGCGTCATGGCCCCCATCATCTGTTGTTGAGATGGTTACAGCAGATACTACAGTAGTCTTTTCACCCCACCCTGCCTTCTAGACGGCAGGGGAAGGCAGACCATGGTTTTTCCTTGGAGCAAGGTGGGGAGGGGGTGACTGTGCATTTAATACCCTGGTGGTAATCATGTCTCATCTGACTGTCTTAAGTTTCCTCATCTGGGGGCCAGCGCTGTGGCGCAGTGGGTAAAGCTGCCGCCTGCAGTGCTGGCATCCCATATGACGCCGGTTCAAGTCCTAGCTGTTCCATTCCTGATCCAGCTCTCTGCTATGGCCTGGGAAAGCAAGTGAAGATGGCTCAAGCCCTTGGGCACCTGCACCCACGTGGGAGATCCGGAAGAAGCTCCTGACTCCTGGCTTCGGATCGGCACAGCTCCAGCCGTTGCTGCCATCTGGGGAGTGAACCAGCAGATGGAAGACTCCCCCCCCCCCCATCTCTCTCTGCCTCTCCTCTCTATTTAACTCTGATTTTCAAGTAAAATCTTTTTAAGTTTCCTCGTCTGTAAGGATTGCAGACACAAAGGACCCAGCACACTGTAAGTGCTCAATTATGATCACTCTCCTATCTCAAACTCACTTTTTATTTAATTTCAATTTTTATTTATTTACTTCCATTAATTTGGCACAGAGAGAGAGGCAGAGATAGAGAGAGAGCGCTTCCATCCACTGGTTCACTCCCCAAATGGCCCCAACAGACTGGGCATGGAGCTGTGGCTAGGCCAGGAATCCAGCGGGGTCTCCCACGTGGGTGGCAAGAACTCAAGCACTTGGGCCATCGGCTGATGCTTTCCCAGGTGCATTAGCATGGAGCAGGATCAGAAGTGGAGCAGCTGGGACTCGACTCAGAGTTCCTAGGGGATGCCGGTGTCACAGGTGTGGCTTAACCTGCCGTGCCACGATGCTGGCTGCTGCAAGATCTAAGTTCTAAAACCGACTTCTCGATCCCACCTTTTCCTCCGCCAAACCTTCATGTTTCCTCTGCCGTAACAGACTCCTCATCCTGCCCTGCAGAGGCCCCAACAACGTGGCCCGTGTTCCTGCCTCACCGTGCACGACTGTTTCAACACCACCATTGCATCTGCTTCCTCGCTACCGCAGTAGACTTGACTGTGCTGCCTGCCCCTCCGTCTACTGAAAGCCTAGCTGTTCATCTCCAATTCTACCTCCCCTTGGAGGCTTTTCCTGATCCCCACGCGACACGGCCCCCTCCTCTGACCTCTGGAGCACCTGGATACCTCGTGACCATTTTATTATTTGATGTGCTCATTTCCATTGCAAGTCCACATGGCCCACGGCCTGGGCTGTTACTGCCTGGACCCCCGAGAGCCCTCTGCCCTGAGTATGGATGCTGGAAACAGAAGAGCCCAGTCACGCCTCCCCCAGTCTAAGCTCCTCCTTCCCTAGCTCCTGATGCATGGAGCAGCAGATCTTCCTCAGTGAGGGGCACCCTTAAACGGACACTGAATTCTGGAGCTCAGAATCACAGGAAAGCGTCCCGTCAGCATCACCTCAAACCTGCCACGCTACCATTTCATCAAAGAGGTTTATTTATTATTTTCATGGATCCCGGGAAACCCCTTGATTTGAAATCACAAGGTTTATTTATTTTTTATTTATTTATTTTTACCTCCCGGGTCTCCAGGAGCCATGTTCTTCTGGTGTAGCAATAGCTTAGTCATGTCAATAGATGCCCAGGAATCACTAAAATTCTTTCTCATTTATGAATCAGTTTCACACCCACTGTCAACGGCTACAAGGAACCTTCAGTTAAGCTTTTGTAAACAGAATGAAAAACAAGAGTCCACTGAGCAATGTGCCAGCTCCTTGACGTTTGTCTACAGTTCTTAAAATCATTATCAACTCACTTTTCAAAACAGTAACATCCTGGCACCAAACAAAAATGCACGCATGTGTATGTATTATTCCCTCCCGGTTTACGAGGTTTAACTTTAGGGTGTACGAGACTGGAAACAGGGTTTTATCATCGTCTGGGAGTTATGGGGGATTGCACTGGCAAGGCCACTGCAAAGTACAAGTTTAAAAATGCCCAAAATGTGACTCTTACAAAAAGAAGAAAAAAAGAAAAATGGAAGTGGAAGATTTTGACTCCATCAGTGAAGCAATCAAGATGTTAAGGCTGCTTCAAAAGAAAACCAAGGACCTGGAGGCTTGTAGGTGGTTAAAATAATGCAGAAATAGGGGCCGGCGTTGGGATACAGCAGGGGAGTTGCTGCCTGTTGCACTGGCATCCTATATGAGCACCAGGTTCGAGATCTGGCTGCACTGCTTCCAATCCAGCTCCCTGCTAATGCACCCGAGAAAGCACCAGAAGATGGCCCCAGTCCTTGGGCTCCTGCACCCAAATGGGAGACCCAGATGGAGTTCCAGGCTCCTGGTTTCAGTCTCTCCTGGCCCCAGCTATTGTGGCCCAACCAGCAGATGGAAGATCTCTCTTCCTCTAATTTTGCTTTTCAAATAAATAAATCTCAAAAAAAAAAAAAAAACAAAAAACAAAAAACACCACACACACACACACACACACAAACACAAAAAACCCGAAGTCACATAGCAAGGAATTTGTCAACAAAAGTGCAACTGGTTACTCTGTGAACAGGTAATGTGACTGGGCAAGCATGCCTGCACTGCCACGGGTTTTCTCTAAGTTAGCCTCGCTGTTGCCAAGCTGTGAAAGAGCTTTCTCCCCATCAGGGAGCCCTACAAAGTGAGAGGCGGCACAGGCTACTGCACACCACCAGGCTCCACAGTGCACAGGCCCTCAGTATTCTCTTACCTCTTTCCAGGTTCTGCTGACTTGCTCTTGACACTGTTAACTATGATAGACATAAAAGCAAACCAGCTTGTTGTTCTGCTGTCTTTGTAATGCAAGTGGACACAAGCCAATCTCTGGCTAACAACTCCCCCAGCCCCTGGCGCCAACCCTGTCCTGTTTCACCGTGGTTCTACAATGTACTATCGGTGATCTTGGGCAAATCACTTAACCCCAGTCTCATCACTGTAAAACAGGATGAAACAGTAGCACCTTCATGGCCATTATGGCTTTGTAATGAGGAATTAACGAGACAACGCGTAAGTGCTCAAAAACGTGACTTGTATACTTTGTCAGTCTGCCAGCATCTTTGTTCTGACATTAAGCCATTTTGAGGAAATAAGTCGTCTTCCACCTGGTTAAGGGATGGGGTGGGGTGGGGGCAATGAAATCATGGCAGTGTGTCCATGAGTAAACTAATAATTACACTGGTTTAAGGGATTACAATAAATTCCAGATGTGTCAAAAGGATCCATTCACGTCTTCCAACGTGGAGGTTAAAGAAACACAACTCTGGGTGGCAGGGTTAGCGGGAGATTGACCTTGGCTGAGCTAAGGCGCCCAGGCATTGAGCCCACCACACACGCATCACAGACCAACGCATGAGCATGTTCACACGTTCTCCAGGTTTTCCCTCTAAGAGAAATAGTCCAAAATGAAAAGCAGGGTGGAAAAACCCAGAATGCAGTGCAACCACAGACACTGCGTTGCCACGTGAGTCAGACACAGGCAGCGGTTCAAAGAGTGGCTCAGCTTTAATGAGATATACTGCGGAACAAGAAAGGAAAAATTAAAATATTCTCGCATTTTAAATTATTTTTCCAACACAGTGCTGGCAATATATTCCCTTTACTGTACATTGTTGTTTTTACTTTGCCCACAACACATTGAGGGAAATATTGAATAAATACATATTAAACACACACAACTCCATTACAGACTGGGATCAATCAGTTATGTCTCATTCCCAACCACATTCTCACTTACACACCCTTCAAGTGGTTCCTTAAGTGCTGAAGTCAGAACCGGATAACAAATAGCTACAACCACAACACAACAGAAAGCAAAATAGGTAGGAAAGACAACAATTCATGTCAAAGCCTTGCTAAATTTTACTCTACTCCAACCTTGAGAAAAGAGTTTTCCTAGAGTGCTGGCTTTTCAGAGGTTAAGCCAAGCACAAAGGAGAAGAGAAATTCCCTAGAGAAGTCTTCTGCGCAAAAGGAAAATCAAATTATGCTCGAAAAACCAAAGTGAGGACCAGTGCGGCCCCGCTCCCTCCCCCACCCACGTCTTCAGATTTGTTTAGTGTAGGTTTCCCCACTGAAGGCCTCTGATTATGTCCAAACTCTGTTATCTCAACAGGGCCACATCCAGATTTAACCCTTCCTGTCCTAACGGGTTGATGAATGAGGCAATTACGTTCAGTCCCTCATGACCTGGGGAACTACACCCAGATCCACGCCGACACACGCAGCCGCCCAGTCACCAGGCCTCGGACTGCAGACACAGCGACTTACTGCCAAAAATGACAATATTTATGGCCACTATTAAAAATGATTTCTTCTCGTATAATTTTAAGAAAATACCGAGAGAGGCACTGTGATTTAAATAAATGACACCGAAAGTGATTTCTCACAACATTTCATATGTTCCCATTTTTATGCAAAAGTCTTGCAAAATAGAATGCTGATCTAGCTTTTAAAAAGGTTTTAAAAAGCTAACCATGAATTCATAAGTAAATTGGATGCTTACTATTTTGAGAGAAAGGCAAAGTTAACAAAATGATGCTAGAAAATAAATACATTAATTTAACTCTATGAATTTCTAGTTTCTCTATCAAAAACCCTTATATTGTATAAATTTGTAATTAAAAAAATGTCTGAGAAAAGTGAATACTTGGTGGATATATTGAAAGCTTTCCACAACTGGAAACCCACTGAAATCTATTTATCTAGTTGTAGAAGTGTCAAGGAGAGCCCTTCACCTCAAACCACCATTTCAGAGTTCATCAGAAACGCTCGTTCAGAGTTCAGGTATACATGGCACAGAGCACCTGTCTTTAAGCGTCCAGCGGGTACAACTGCAAAAACGGGTTTGAGAATCAAGGGACAGCAATACTAGACACAATTAAGACTGTCACTGGTGCCGGGCTAGGCAGCAAGGACTATTTTAAGAGGCTGCTTTAAGCGCTCATTTTTGAAAGCAACTCTGGACGAAATCCCGACCGCAGAATGCAGTTGATGAAGATCTGCCTCCCGCGCAGGCACGGCACTAACAAGCAGGTGGAATTACACAGGACGGACGCTGCATACTACAAGCATCCTGCTGGACAGGGATCGGAGACACAGCGGTAACCGTGAGCATCTGAAGCGGTCTGCTGGAACGCACTTCCAATTCTGACTGCACTCGTCAGTAAGGCAATACGCTACAGAGCAAGCACGAACACGCGTGCTGTCATCACTCCACATCTCTGCTCTCTGTTCTACAGGTATATCCCTGACCCTGTGACAAAATCCGTGGGCGAAATCTTTCTTCCTTTGTTTCTTGGCCTGTTTTCTAGCCCCCACGTCCCCGGTTCTAGGAGCACCGGTCCACTCCTGAAACCCCTCACCTTCACTCTTGCAGTGCCTGCCCTCGTACGAAGTTTAAGATCCACACACTGTTGATTACCGGTAAACCTAGATGCCAACACGAGAGGTTGTTTCGAAAGGCCAGTTACAAGTACTTTTGTTGAAGACCATGTTGTGTCAGCTGGTGCACTGCCTGCTAGTTCTGTGTGGCAAACAGTGAGAACGAGGTGACGTTGATGAAACATTACACGGGGATCATGGCTAGTGGAATTCATGTCCACATCAGCTCTTGAGGTAGGAAACCGATTATGCATTACAGCATAATTAAGGTTTAAGTATAAAAGTTTAAAAACTGCACAAAGATGCTATGAATATCCTGTATGTACATGTCAGTAAAAAGCCAACCTAAATCAATCCGAAGGAGGTTTAGAATGAGATTGTTCTCCTTATGGATTTTTACATAATACTTTTTGAATTTTTATATAGTCTATGCATTGATCTCTCATTTACCTCCAATCTATCTCAACTCAAGGAAGGAAAACTCCATCTGAACACCGTGTGGCCCATCCCCTGCCCTCTGGCAGGGGAGTGAGGGCGGTGCCGTCTCGGGGAGAGCAGGGGAGAGAAGGGGAGAGAGGGGTCCGGAAGCACTCTGTAACTATCACCTGGCCGCGACAGCTCTGATTGAGCACAGCTGTAAAAACTGAGAATCCCAAGGGTTCCTTCCCCTATACCCTCCCGTTCCCTAATTAGGTAACTCACGTCTTTCAAAAGTCAAGACGAGCCAGCTGGTTTTCAAGGTGCCTGTGTTAAACCAGGAACAGGAATTACAGTGGGAGGAAGTGTAGGGAGAAGTGGCCAGAAGCAATGGTAAAAGACAGATTCCGTGAGCGTGGACAGAGGCTAAGAACGTGACTGTGTGCCTTACTGTTTGTGTAGGAAACACACATTTCTGCTTGTCTCCAAGTGGCCTGCAGAAACTTTACCTGAGCCTGCCACACCTCATTTACAAATGGAATACACACCGGGCCTGGCACGGACCGTGCAAGGGAGCGGGGAGCAGGCGTGGGAAAGTGCAGATGACACCGAGGTGCCAAGGTGAGAGAGAAAGCTGGGCCCTGGTCCGCTGCCCTCCCTTGGAAACAGAACACTGGCTCCCTCCCCGCACTGGAGAATGCAGTAGTGGGCTCAGGACAACAGTGACCCACAGCGGCTGGCAGGGAGCCGGCGCCGAGCACGGCTGCGGGACGAGGGGCCGGCTTCGTTGCTCATTTCTTCACTTTTCCCCGGGACACCACTTCCGCGTACGGGGTGTGGAGGAAGTCGTGGAGCTGCTTGGCGTTCACGGCGTTGCCCAGGATGCGCGCGAGCTCGTCCTGAGACAGCGTGGCCAGCTCTGCAATGTTCTTCACGTGGTTCATCACCGAGCGGCAGTTCTTGGCGTTGACCCCTGGCATCTTTAGCAGGAAGTCCTGGGGGCCAGGGTTGTACTTCTCGGACTCGGGGAGGCTTTCCGAATCCGCCGTGACGGCCATGGCCGTGGCCACGTCCGGCTGCGGCTTATTTCGTTTCAGCTCCTCGAACAGCTCGGCGGTGGCGTGCGGCGAGGGGCACCAGAGCAGCCGCAGCCTGGGAAAGTGCAGCGTGAGCAGGGTGAGCTTGGAGCTGACGTCGCTGCTGGAGATCTCCTGAAACAAGGCGCCGCGGGGGGTCAGGGAGAAGGGCTTGCTGGGGTCAAACTCGATGAGCAGCACGGGCCGCTTGTAGCAGCGGGACATGGCGACGCACTGGCTGTAGAGGCGGCCGTTGTTCAGGGAGCCGATCAGGTCGCTGATGCTCTTGCGCTCCACGCACACCTCTGGGGTCAGGATGTAGTCTCCGACCTCCAGCGTCACCGGTTCAATGTCAATGCCCCTGCGATGCAGCAGTGAGGGGAGCTCGCTTCGAAACTCACGCATGTCCACAACGATGCTCTGCTGGGTGCCACTCTGTTCCTGGCCACCTAGGAAAGGAAGAGCAGCGTATAAAGTAATGCCACTGGGGAAAACCGGCAAAGGTGAAAGGTAACAATGAAAAATAGTTTAAGGTCTGAGTTTCCGGGGTTAACCCCTGGGGGTGGCTGGCTGAAGCCCTGCGGACGCCCCGACGATAGCCCCATGAAACCCATCTGGACTCTGGACCTTGCAGGACCGTGGGATAACGGACGCCGTTTCCAGCCACTGTTTGTGGTACTGGTTCCAGCAGCAACAGGAAACTAAAACGCTTAGGGGACAGAATTCAAAAGGTCAGACTTCCAGCAACAGCGTTCTCTGTGGTACCTACACGCTCAAATCTATCTCCCATCACACCACCTGACGTGCTGTAGTTCTTAATAAAATGTCACCAGCCTGGCTAGGTTAATAGGATTCTTCTTCAAAAAAGACACACACGCTCAGAGCCTCGGTCCAAGGACCACTTACTGCTATCTGAGGTCTGCTGCTGACCCCGCTTCTCATCCCAGACTCACAGTGTCTGTGGGTTCTGAATCTCAATGACCTGTGAATCCAGGTTTAATAAGCAGCTGTGACTATTCTTTTTGTAAAATAACAGTACCTGAATTTTTAAAAATTATACTTATTCTTTTTAACGGATTTAGTTATTTATTTGAAAGGTAGAGTTACAGAGAGAATGGGAGAGAGAGATAGATCTTCCATCTGCTGGTTTACTCCCTGGCCACAATGGCCAGGGCTGGGCCAGGCCAAAGCCAGGAGCCAGGAGCTTCATCTGGGTCTCCTACATGGGTGCAGGGGCCCAGGCACTTGGGCCATCTTCTGCTGCTTTCCCAGGCACATTAGCAAGGGGACTGGATCAGAAGTGGAGCAGGTGGGACTCGAACCAGTGGCCAAAGGGCTGCCAGCGCTGCGGGTGGGGGATTAAGCCACCGTGCCACAGTGCCGGACCCAACTGAGCTTATTCTTAGTGTGCTAAGTTCTAAGACCCACTGCTCTAACGTGACCTCACCAAGGTTAATAAACTCAACCGCTGTGCCTTTCTCATGCTGCTTCTCTGGCATCAGGTTTAGAAGTAACCACTTTCCCACTTCCCAGAGTACAGACCACTCGGTAGCAGGCCACGGGTCAGATACTGCACAGCAGTGAGGGGGCCCCATGCCTGAGTTCTGGAGAGGACCACAAAGTAACACACACATACAGAAGACAGTGGCAGGTGACATGGCCCAGACAACTCCCAGCTGGGTGTGTGTACAAGTAGAGAGGCAGCAGGGAGGAGAAACCTCCTTCAGTTGCGAGGTGAGTCAAATTGGCTTCTTTGGTTGAGATAAGAACCTAATCACCATTTATCAATGTTTCTTTGCAAAAGTACATTCTGTGTCTCAACCAACCAAAGTCAAATACCACACCGGAACAGAACGCCTAGAACTCCACCCTGATTATTTTACGGTGACTCAGCAGCCGCTTTGCACCAGAGAGGACAGACACAGGGTTGGTACACAGCAGAGTTGAGGTGCAGTATGCAAAAGTACACAGCCTCTCCTTGGGTCAAGCGCTATTGTTTCTTTTTATTTTTTATCCATTTATTGTTTGAAAAGAAACAGAGAGGGAGAGAGATAAATGTCTCTTATTTCCATACCCACTCCCCAAATGCAGGCAACAGCCAGGGCCGGGTATGACTTTGAAGCCAGGGGCCAGCAAGTTAATCTGGAAGTCCCAGTGGGTGGCAGGGGCCCAAGCCCTTAGGCCATCTTCCGTTGCCATCCCAGGATCATTAGAAGGGAGCTGAACTGGAAGTGGAACATCGGGGACTGAAACTGGAGCTCTGGTACGGGAGGCCCACACGGCTGCGTCAGTGTCAGCCGGGACCCAGGTCCTGAGCCATCCCCGGCTGCCTCCGCACCTGCAGGAAGGTGGGATGGAGAGTGAGCCAGGACTTGGCTCAGGCGCGCGGAAGTGCACCAAGTGCCCATCCCTCAGCCTCTGGTTCCAAGAGTCTGGGAACAACCAGGCCTCCGCAGAGTAACCCAGAGGCCGTGGAACGCCTGGCAAGGGCAGGACTCACCGGCCTTCCGCGTGTCTGTGGGAGCATTGGCCGACGCCGTGCCTCTCACCAAGTCCAGATTGGTTTCATCTCTGCCTTCTCGCTCTTCAGGGACAACCATGCTGGCCTTTTCCCTGGGCAGAAAACAATTGACAGGTTTTATTTTGAAAACTACTTTCAAAATTCTAGATTCTAACCTTTTGTGATTCTAATATTTAAAATGACCTCCATGACCACAGTGGAAGAAGAGAATACAAGTAATGTGTGTTGTTGACTTCTTATTTTACACTCAACTACTTTGAGACATGAAATAGGCATGTAAAAAATACCAGAGAGAAATCACTGAAATTGTAAGACTGAAGTGTTTTTGAGCACTAAAAATAATTTAAGTCACTTATATTTAAATATTTTCAAGGTGATCATAAATATGGATGTTAACAATGATTAAGACAATAAAAAACACATGTGGGTGCTTCAAAAAGTTCATGGGAAAATGGGATTACAAGGGAAGTCTTGAAATCTGTGCCTAGTTTTTTATAATACGCATTTTCCACAGGCTTTTTGGAGACCTGTTATATGCGTGGAATTCAAAATTGTTCTGTACCAAAGTCAACTTATCTCTGACCCCATTTCCCAGGAGCCTTTTGAAGCCCCCTCATCTGAGAGAACTTTGCTTTACAAACGTCCAGGAGGAGACACCTCCAACATTTTCAATTCATTTATTGGAGGGGCAGACAGAGAGAGATAGGTAGAGAGAGAGCCCTCCTCCACCGATTCACTCCCAAAAGCCCAAAATGATCCCAGGGAGCTAGGAATTCAATGCAGGTCTTCCACGTAGGTGGCAGGGACCCAACGTCTTAAGCCGCTACTGCTACCTCATAGGGCCTTTATTAGCAGGAAACTGGAATTAGGAGTAGAGCCCAGGAATGAGCCCAGGACCTCTGATGGGGAGGCGGGCGTCCTAACCAGCATCTTAAATCTCTAGGCCAAATGCCTGCCTCTGTGATAAGATTTCCTAACTAAAATTTCAAATAATCTTACTCCTTTTCTTGAAAAGCAGTGGTCTCCTGGAGAGATGCATACTGAAGGTATCTGTACTAATTTTCCCACCAGGCACCATTTTATTATCTAGACTTAGCAGAAGCATCGTTTCCCGGTATCAGCTGATCTTTAATCCAGCTAGACAATACGCGCCTGCCAGTGTGCTGAATTCACTCCTTTCTGGTCCAACAGCAGCATGGCTTTTGTTCTGCAACATCCCCTGTGGATATGGGTGAGGCACAGTCTCTTCTCACAGTGCAAACGCTCTCAGAAACACACCTAGAAATCTCTGATGTTCAAAACAAATACCTCTCCAATTTCCCAAGTTTCCTGGGAAAGTAAACACCTTAAAATTCTAAATAGTGTAACCATCTGATCGCTGTGTAAAATGGGAAGATCTTATTTATAGTGAGCAGGCAATCACCATTAACAGAGTTTAGAAAAAATTAGGCCAGAGCGTAGATCCAATTACATTAAGACCTGGTGTAGCAAATATTATCAGCTGAGATGTGGGCCGGAGTCCACGACCTGTCCTGCTGAGCGAGGTTTCCTATAAGTGCAGGGCCTGTCTACGCTTGGTCCCCGAGCCCCCGATGTCCGCAGAACCCCCGGCATGCACCCGGAGTGGCATGGCAGTACCTACTGCCAGCAGCTGAAAGCACCCAACTACAGATTAGGTTCCCCGTGCTGGAGAAGAACCAGCGCGGAGCACGGAGCCGTCCTCCCCTCCTCCTCAGAGGCTGCCGCCTCACATTCCACGGGCTCCTCGGGCTCTCGCACTGCACGGGGAAGCGCTGACTCAGCACCTCCCAGTTGCTCAAACTCTGCACCTCTGCATCACAGGCCCGCCCCCTGGACTGGCCCTCAGCCAGCTGCTGCAAGATGAGCTCCGATGAGAATATTCTGCCTGGTAAGAGGGTTTCTTTGTGCCGAGGCCTTGGGCCGCAGATGCCAGTTTGATCTGAGAGCTTAGGCTGACGCGGAGTCGTGGCTAACAGCTGTATGCTTGTTTCTGCTCACAGGGGCCGAACCCTGTGTAGCTGAAGGCAGTTGTGGGGGTGTTCTGTGTCTTCACGACTTAGCAGAAACTCTGGCCATCAAGGATAAGTGAGGTTCCTGCCGCTGACACTTTGCAGGTGCCGTCACCACGGCTGCTGACAGCATTGAGCACGTCCCTGCGACTCCACTGTGAGGACACCTGGAAGCTTCCACCAGTTTCTCCTGGATTTTTCCCCCCTTCCTTCTCCCCTGTGCTGACTTTAATCTGTACCCTTCTGCTGTAATAAATCACACTGGGAGTCTAACACTTTTCCTCACTAACGCGAGTCCTTTCAGTGAATCACTGAGCCCAAGGGTGATCTTTGGGAGCCCCGATGTGAACACCAATAAGCTAATCTCAATACTGTCGGCTCGTGGTCTCGCTTGTAACTTTGGTGACAATGATTTAATCAGAGAAGGCTCAGGTAAGGGACAATTTCAGGAGAGTGAACGCAGGGTTAGGAGACCATCAGTTCTTTGACTCTGTCCTGTAAGTGCCTCTCAGATTTGTCCTCTCCTGAGCTTGACCATGTCCTTCCCACGTCAGACAATCGCAATACCTTCTGAATGGTTTCCACAACCCATCACTCCTCAATTTGATGGCTTTAAGAAAGCGCCTTAAGGGGCCAGCGCTGCGGTGTAACGGTAAGCTGCTGCCTGCAGCACCGGCATCCCATACGGGCGCCGGTTTGAGTCCCGGTTGCTCTACTTGCAAACCAGCTCCCTGCCTGGCCTGAGAAAGCAACAGCAAATGACCCTAGTGCTTGGGGCCCCACACCCACGTGGGAGACTCAAAGGAAGCTCCTGACTCCTGGCTTTGGCCTGGCCATTGTGGCCATCTGGGGAGTGAACCAGCTGGATGCAAGATTTATCTCTGCCTCTCCCTTCCTCCCTGTCTCTCTGTAACTGTGCCTTTCAAATAAATAAATAAATCTTCAAAAAAGAAAGCGCCTTTAAAAACATACGAATGGGGCAGGTTCAGCCACTTCTCGGGATGCCCACATCACACATCCGAGAGCCGAGTCTGAGTCTTCGCCCCTCTATTCTTTCTTATTTTAAAGATTTATTTATGTATTTATTTATTTACTAAAGGCAGAGGTAGAGGACGAAGCTTCCATCTGTTGGCTCATTCCCTGGAGCAGATGTTCTTTCTGCCCCACAGTAACCACACCACTTTATTTTTTTAATTTTATGTATTCATAAAGCAGAGTAACAGATGGGGGGGGGAGGGAGGGAGGGAGGGAGAGAGGGAGGGAGGGAGAGAGAGAGGTATCTTCCATCTGCTGGTTCATGTCTCAAATGGCCAACAGCAAGGGCTGGACCAGACTGAAGCCAGGAGCCCAGAACTCTGTCCAGATCTTCCTCAGGGGTGGTAAGGGCCATCTTTCACTGTCTTCTAAGACCATCATCAGCAGGGAGCTAGATCAGAAGTGGAGCAGCTGGCACTTGAACCAGCCCTCTGATATGGAAATGCAGCACGGCAAGCAGCGGCCTAACCTGCTGAGCCACACAGTGCCAGCTCGGACCCCAGCGCTTTACTATCGGCACAGATTCTGGCCTAGACTGGCTGCTGAGTATCTGTGTAGCGTTTGAGCCCTGGGGACTGAAGGCCTAGGAGGTACAGAATAGACAAGGAGATGCCAAAAGCTTTGTACAAGATGCAGCCTGGGCCGGCGCCGCGGCTCACTAGGCTAATCCTCCGCCTTGCAGCGCCAGCACACCGGGTTCTAGTCCCGGTCGGGGCACGGGATTCTGTCCCAGTTGCCCCTCTTCCAGGCCAGCTCTCTGCTGTGGCCAGGGAGTGCAGTAGAGGATGGCCCAAGTGCTTGGGCCCTGCACCCCATGGGAGACCAGGAGAAGCACCTGGCTCCTGCCATCGGATCAGCGTGGTACGCCAGCCGCAGCACACAGGCCACGGCAGCCATTGGAGGGTGAACCAATGACAAAGGAAGACCTTTCTCTCTGCCTCTCTCTCTCACTGTCCACTCTGCCTGTCAAAGAAGTAGAAAAATAAAAAAGGATGCAGCCTTGCCTTGTGAGAAAGCTTGTGAGAACATGATTTCTGAAAAAAGTTTTGAAGCATGAACACGTATGCTATACAAACAACCTTACAGGGCATATTAGTAGAAAATACATGTTCATGGGCTGAGAGAATTAAACAATACTTGTATGACCATTAGCTGGAGGACCCTACAAGCCAAGGCAGGCCATAATTCTAGAAGCCTTGAAGGGAAGGGAGGGTGCAGCCCCTTCACGGGGACTCAGTCGCACTGATTCAGTGACCATCCCCGTCTGCAGGAATGCTTGCCCTGGACTCTCTGGGGTACGTGTATGCTTTACACATACCCTGAGAACCCAGGCAGGATGGGTGTAGGAGGATGTCCACTTGGAAACCCTACATGGGGCCCTGATAACTGAGTGCCACTAAAAAAATTTCTCATGGTCACTGCTACAATGACTGAGGCTTGGAAGCCAGGTCTGGCCCAAAGGCACTCAGCCCAGGTCACGGGCTCCTCCACTCTAGCCTTTCTCTGGCTCAGCAGCTCTGCTCTTGCCCTGGCTTCCGACGTCCCAGAGAGATCATGTGACCACCTGTCCACACCGAGCTCAAGCTGCTGGTCAACATCCCGGGGTCAGGGATGGGATGGGGGGCGGCGGCTTTCGGATTCTCGCATGTTCTCAGGCTGAGAGGCACCCCTCTGGTCGTGGACACGCACACACATTTCCCTTACGTTAACCTGGGGAGCATTTTCTACTTGGATTCGGAACATTATGTGATAGTCAGCGTCAACACACACACACACACACACACACAACACAAACCACTGAAAAGCAGTCGGAGGTGGTGGGAGAGAGAGGGAAGAACGCGCAGCGGCATGCTCTGGGGGGACCACCGGACCCCAGGCTCATCGCGACGGGCCCCTCGCCCGCACAGAAGCCGCCTCGGCAGCCACGGGCCGTCGGCGTGGCTGGGACCTTCCGGGCTTTACCTTATGAGTTTCTCAAAGGCTTCCTTTTCTTTCCGCAGAGCCGTGAGGTAGCGCTGCTCCTCCGTCGAGCCTCCGTATATCAGGAAGTAAACTCTGCAAGTGAAGGCAAAGCTCAGTGAGGCAGAGAGAGCACCCGTTTTTAATCCTCGAGAAGCACAGCCAGGCACTTGAAGCGGGCAGCTGTGAACGCTCGAATAGGGACTGTTTAACTTTCAGTACAGGTCCCATTCATCACACGCGCACTGCGGTTACGCTGCCTACACCCCACCTGTTGAAGGTTTCATTACCCCAAGGTTTATCTTCTCTGGTTTTCTTTTCTTTTGCCAAAAGGAGGAACAGAGTTTAGGTAAATACTGAAATATAACTAGAGGGATAGAATAATTCTTTTCTCATAAACAAATCCCAACACACAAAATCTTACAGGCTTCTCTTCTTCTACTCTCTTTTTGCATCTCTGCCAAGCAACAATTTCAAAAGCTGGACAGTCATTATAAAAACCAGCTTATGAAAGCTCATGTTAGAGCAAAGTAAATAAATGAAATCTATATGACCTTTATCTTCACAAGTGATGTCTCAGGTCTCAACAGAGCAGAGACGTCACCAAGTCTTTACAAACCCGCGACAGGGAAACTTGCGGGTTTCTTTGGGCATCTCAAACAACAATCCCTGTATTTTCTGTAAGGAAAGACCTCTTTTCTATCTTGTTTGTTGCTCAAAGAGCTGAATCAAACACCTCTTTTGTCCCCTTTCTTCAGGGTCTCGCAGAGGCATTTTCCTTTCCCAGTCTTCGTTTTCCTGTTGCCTGTCTTCCTTGACTGCATGTCTTTGAACTGTGGACAGGGAAAAGCCGCGGGGGCCAGAGACTCCAGCTCTCCCGTGGGTGTGCCACGTGTTCTCCATTTCTGGGTCTCAGTTTCCCTTTGATACAGCAAGTGGCTGAACTCCCAGGTCCCTTCCGATTCTCACATTTTGTTTCCAAATATTTCGCTATTCTGTTCTCGGCCAAGAAACTTGGCACACACAGCCTATCTGCACCGTGGGTCCACAGCAAGGCCTGACAAACGCACCAGCCTGTCGTCATCTTCCCAGCCCCCTCTAATCTCTCCGTCCTGCATTACTTCTGCCCCAGAGCCTCCATTCACCTCCACGCGGAGAGGCCGCCTCCGTCAGGCTGCCGGGAAGGCTTCTTTTGGCTCTGCTTCTGGTTCAGTCTGAGTTCAGGATATTAATTTTGCTGTTTATTTCCCCTCACATAATTGGAGAGCAAGAACACTATATTCTTTGGGAGGCATCGCTTTCTCATCTGATATTTCTGTAGATTTTCATCTGATATTTCCTGAAACCCAAGAAAGCTTCGTACAGGAATTCCCACGAATGCTTTACTTTTGTGTGGATGTGACTTAGTCACTCCTTACAATTTATAGCAAAGACATTTTAGAAGATTAGAATTATCTAGCCAAGTCAGAGTTGTATTAACTTTGGGCAGAACTTGGAATATTATCAATTTCCCAGGCTTTTCACAGATACAGCACTTGGTAAGCTACAAGGACGTGGTATAGAACAAGGAGCAGGCAGACAGGGGACACCAGCGACCCCCAGGGTTTGCTCTCCTGCGACATCCTCCCCGCCCACCTTCCCAGATTCATCAGTAAGCAAAGGCAACCGGCACGGCTAATAGCAGGATGTTACAGAAAACCGACGGGCAACGGAGCGACTTCCACGTCGAATCCCGACGAATGGAGGCGTGCTAGCTTTAGGAAAGCTAACGGTCTCCACGACTTGCCTTAGGGGTTTCCCGGGCCTGCTTGCTCTATAGATCTCCAGCTGGCGGACGAAGGTGAGCTCGGCGTCGTAGAGAACCACGTATCTGGGCTCCACCTCGTGCAGGACTCTGGTCAGCGCGTACGGGTCGCTGCAGCCCAGAAGCGGGTGGATGATGGTGAGGGGTTCTTGGAGGACCCCATAGGCGGCGTCCGAGGACAACTGGACCTCGAATTCCGCATGCCTGCCTTCGGCCGCGCCCTCCGGGCTGCTGCTTACTTCGCCGTGGCTGCCTTCCTCGACGTCGCCCTCCTCCGCCGGTTCTTCGGGTTTGCCCACCATCTGGGTCAGGGTCAACTTCGGCTTCTTCTTTTTGAGAGCCCTTTCTCTGGCAGCGCGCGCTCTGGGCCTCTTGTCGGACCTCCGAGTCCTGCTCGAGCCGTCGGCCTTCCTCAGCCTCGCCCACACCTCCTCCGCGCGGCTGTCCTTGTCAAAGGCCTGCCTGTAGAGCCCGAGCAGGAAGGCCTCGGCGCCGGCCGTCAGGTAGCCCTGCAGCTGCGAGCAGGTGCGGTCGTCGCTGGCGCAGATGAGCACCTGACCTGCGGTCACAGAGCGCCGGGTTAGTGCAGCCCACGGCCGGCGCCCTTCCCCACGGGGCACGCCCCGGTCCTCTGGGGGATCGAGAGGCGCGGCCTGCACCGCGCTCCCCAAAGGGCCTGGGCTACCACACACTTTACTTCCCCAGCAGGATTTCTTAAACCCTGCGTAAAGCGGAAGCCACCAACTATGTGGAGTCTTGGGAAAGCGCAGCCGGGCACAAGGGAGGAAGCGCTTTCTAATGGATGCTTTTCCACAGGGCCTTATACACCTAAATAAATCCCAAATGGACTACAGGGTGCGATGGGACACATTAAGTCTTTACAAAAGGAATGACGACTCTCCACGCCCCCACGTGGAGATGATTTCCTGGGCTTAACAGCAAAGGAAGAAATCTCTGAGAGACTGACTCTACAAGAATAAAAAACCACATTAACAACACTTAACGACAAAAACAAACAAACAAACAAACAAACAAAGAAAAAAAACCTGCGATAAATGGTAGCACCAGTCATATACAAACAGCCAACACACACCGTGGCCATAGTCTACATCAGCAGAGGAGACTCAGACAGTTCACGTAAGAGGAACTGCACCTGAGAAATTACTGAGCTCGTTCAGTATCACTATTTAAGACAAGATGGCATCTTCGCCGATGAAACTAATAAAACTGGTCTAGACACACACGCACACATACTCTGGGTACAGTGCCCAGTCATGGCTGGCTGGCTCCGTGAACGAGAGAGAGGCTCTCAGACTGCTAGAAGAAATGAAGATTAATTAAAAACTTTCTGCAAATCAATGCAGTGATCTGTCTCGGGAGCCTTCAAAGTCTAACTGCCAATTAATTCATCAATTCTACATCTAGATGTTATCTTTACACTGTGGCTTTAACAACGTGAAGCAACATGCAGAAGGAAAACCCGGACAGACAGACAGCAGTGTCATGACCATTAGCTGCTCTAAGTCCTTCTTTCCCTCTCTCGTCCTTGTCACTTTTTCTACAGCGAGCTTGCATGACTGTGCATCTCAACTCATAGCACCGCACGTCCTGGGATAATACCAGTGGCAGCTTTTGTGTGCCTGCACCTACTGCTTTGTGGGCATTCAAAGATCCAATCCATATTTTTAAGAAGCTGGTTTTCTTTTATGTGATCTCTGATTTTATTTCTTAATTCATGGTTTAGGTTTAGTGTGCTGTGCTCATGTACCAGCGCAGCCATGTCTGAAGATAGCAGCCCTAAAATTTGGAATTGCTCTCTGAGGGCCAAGTCCCTGTTCTTCGATGGAAGAGTTGAGGTTTCTTTGGCAGAAGACTTGCTGAGGATATAAAACACAACACCCACAGGCTTACTCCTTGGGGCCTGCAGATAGAAAGCCTGGTGAAAATAATGTGGAGATTAGCTGCGTCTTTAAACACAAGGCCCGAGAATCCAGTTGGTCAAAAACCCTGTTTCATGACTATACAATGACTCAACCTGGAGAAAATCCCATCATATCATCACATGAACGGGAAGGAGGTTGCCTGCAGTGTCTCAGTGCCCATCTGACATGTATTTATCTGCATCTGATACATAAGACAGTGCGCTACTTTTAAAGAGCCAGTCAAAGCAGAATCCATTTGGTAGATCCTGAAAGCAATGGCGTCCTCTCCTTTCTTCTGACCTGGGCCACCAAGCACTTCGCTCTCCTTATTTTCTGCCTCGATTTCCTTGAGCACTTCGGTCAGCGCCTCCCACTTCGGGTTGCATTCCAGGACCAGCTCCTTCTTGGTTTCTGCAGAGAAATAAAGGACAACCTCATTCTATGTGGTAACGTTTACCTATAAATTACTTCTAAAACAACAGGTAACACGAGTGTTATTCCTCAAGTCTGTTTCTTTGAGCTTTCCTGAAAACGCCAGACAGAATTCGCTTTCCTCAGAAAGGTTTCCTTATGGTCTAAATGAAAGGTATCTCAGTCCAGCCTTCACGCAGGTTTTACAAGGACATGACAGAAGGCTTCTTGAAAGGTTACTAGTAAGAGGTGACTGACGCTGCGTACACACAGAAGCTGCTACGTAAAGGAATCGGTACTGAATGACAGTATTTATTATTTCTAAAATCCTCATCTTTTCCACAAGCCTGAGCATGCGTAAAAGACGGGAACAATCAAACTTTTATTTTTGTAAATACTGCACACATTATTAATATATTTACTTAAGTTCTGAAATAGACCTTTATTAACTATTAATTCAATGACAATGAAGTGGTCACCGAACCAACAGGGTCTCAGTTTTGTCACTGCAAGACGAGATGTTTAGATCAAATACCTTTAAAGTCCTTCTGAGTAATGTACTACTCCAATGAATCAATGACCTCCTTCTCACTCATTGTTTTAACAAACGTGCTGACTGCTTACCATGTACACAACAATTAAAGTTTGAGTCCTTGATTCTAAGAAGCACTCAATATAATAAATAAGACAAACACTTAAAAAAATAGACCTTTTTCTGTCTCTCTCACTATCCACTCTGCCTGTCAAAAAAAAAAAAAAAAGACCTTTAAACTAGGTAGAAAATAAACATTAATCCTATCTGACACCTTAAAAAACTAGTGATACTTAATACCTACTAGATGGATGCGGATGTTGAAATAAAATCCACATTAGTCTCATTCTAGTACATTTATGTTCTTTAAAAATTAAAAGGGATGGGGGTTGGCACTACGGTGTAGTGGGTAAAGCTGCCACCTGCAATGCTGGCAGCCCAGCAGGGCACGGGTTCATGTCCCTGCTGTTCCACTCCTGATCCAGCTCCCAGTTGATGGCCTGGGAAAGGCAGCAGAAATGGCCCTAGTGCTTGGGCCCCTGCCACCCACACTGGAGAGCCAGATGAAGCTCCTGGCTCTTGGCTTTGGCCTGGTCCAGCCCTGGTCATCGCAGCCATCTAGGGAGTGAACCAACAGATGGAAGATCTTTGTTACTCTTTCAAATAAAATAAATCCTATATATATTTTTTTTAATTTTGGAACTCACCTAAGGTTTTTTTTTTTTGTCTTATTAAAGGTTCATTTACTTATTTGAAAGTCAGAGTTACAGAGAAAGAGAGAGATCTTCCATTTACTTGTTCACTCCCCAGATAGCCACAACAGCCAGGACTGGGCCTAGCCAAAGCTAGGAGCCAAGAGGTTCTTCCAGGTCTCCCATGTGGGTGCAGGGTTCCAAGTACTTGGGCCATCCTCCACTGCTGTCCCAGGTGCATTAGCAGAGCTGGACTGGAAATGGAGCAGCCGGGACTCGAAGTGGCGCCCATATGGGATGCTGGCAATGCAGACGGCTTAACCCACTGTGCCACAGTACCAGCCCCACATAAATCTTAAAAAAGCTAACAGGGATGTTAAAATGTTCCACTAAGTCTTTAAGTGCCACTAACAGTAATGTCTTTGAAGTCAAAACAAAATCAGTCCACAGCTTTCCTGTGGCACAGAGAAGGCTCTGGATTCACACCTGGCATGTTGTTTGCAATCAGCGGCAATGGGTTCTAAGACCTGCCACTCTGAATATTTCATTTCCCCTACCCTGTTTCATGAAACAGTCCAACATCCTTCTGTAAAGACAGAAGGTAACACAAGCTAGTTCTGTGCACTGTCTCTTCTCGGACAAATCCACCAACTGCCACCAGTTGAGGAAAAGGCGCTCAAGACATTATATGTAAAATACATACATACAGATACTTCACATACACGCCCAATTTTCCAACTTGGCTCAAGGGAATTTTAAATTCCACTTTAACTTGATGGGCATGCCCATACCGAATACTTACATAAAGACACATGTAAAGATTTAAGGCTATAGGATACCTTGCTCTTCTTTAATCTCCATTTTTTCAGACATTTTGCCTTTTTTACTCATTTTGGAATCAGGAACATGATACACCCTTGCTCGAGCATTTACAAACATTGAGGTACTGGAGTCAAGAAACAGCCAGCCTAATATAAAAAGTGCAGAAGGAAAATCTTCAGTTTATAGTTACACAGTCTCTGACAGTCACATGACCCACACATAGCCCTGGCCACCATCTTGTTTTCTTTCCTTTTCTTTTTTCCTTATTTTGTTTACAAGCACATGAAGAATGTCCCCTGGAAAGTCTAACTTGTGGTAAGGCCAATATAAAGTAGTCGTTGGCTCCACAGTGATGTGTGAAAGAAGGTCATGGCCACTGTTTGTTCAAACAATGATTGTGTTATTAGAACAAAACAGAACAACAAACCCACATGATTCTTCATGGCTGCCCATGTGAAAGAACTGAAAATAAAGATGACTTTTCAAAACTCCACAGTCTCTGGTCAACGGTCTGAGGTGACCACGCTGTCACTTTCCTTCACTGACAGTCTCTGTTTTCCAGGAGCACCAGCCTAATGTTCACCCAAGGCGTGGCGTCTGCCCAGGGAGTGCAGAGAGCCCGAACCTTCAGGGCCTGAACTTGGAGCCCCTCTGCTTCCAGCCTGGGCTGTTGTTCCACCCTTCGTTCTCCCAGGACTGCTTCAATGGACACGTGCTGCAGGGGTGTGTCGCTCTCCTTTTCCAGTCTATTTCTCCTAGAGGACCACATTCTCTCCTCTGACCACAAAAGTCCCTCGAGGAGTAGCACCGTATTTTTTGCCCACAAGAGTATGCTCCACAGTCCGACATAGTAGTAAGTTAGCAAACTGATCAGTGCTTCTTAAAACTCGAAGCAGGACCCAGTGCTTTTTGTTGATGTCCTCGATGAGGCTGGTGGTGCCAGGCAGATAGCTCATCTTGAGCGGAGACAGGGCTGCCAGGTCGAGAGCAGTGGCGAGCAGCGCATCCAGCACCTCCTTCCTCCCACTGAGGTTGCCACCTCGGCAGGATCAGGACAGAAACCCGGACCTGGGCTCGCACCTGAGCCCCGGCTTTCAGCCGCCGGGGGCCCGCCGGAAGCACCTTCCATCTTGTTTTCTGATCAGCCACTCCTCTGTCACTACTGTGGCCTGTCACTGCTTGGCTAAATCGTGGTATTCAAAATGTGCTCTGCAGGTTCCTGGCAGTCCCCGAGATGTTTCCAGGGGGTCTGTGAGCTAAGTATGCTCCACCGTGCTGCCATCTCTAATGATGGTGCACAAGCAACAGTGGGTGGGACCACTGCTGCCTTTGCCCAAACAAGGCCTTAGTGGTGTGAAAGTGTACCAGCAGTCATCGCACTCTGCTGCCGTGCGCGTGCAGTTCGTCACCTAACGATGCTCCCGAAGCAGCACAGAAAATGATTAGCTGCATTAAATCGTGACCCCAGGGGCCTGTAGCCACACTAACAGTGACAACACTGGGAAGGATGTGGTTGGTAGGAAAACAAGATAGTGGCCAGTGGCATACGCATTTGTCCCTACAAATCTCTTTGGTCTTGGATCCCTCATATTCCCTTGTTGTCCGTTTGAAGTCAATAACTTTTAAGTTCTTAACAAATAAACTTCCAGAACATCACCTGTTTCTAATTTGGAGACTGCCTGTATTACACAGTCTTTTCTAGAAGTAAAACTGCCCAGGATGGATATGAATATTTATTATTATACAGAAGTTAAGTAGGTGGAAACGGTAGCTATCAATAAAACCTACACCCATGTGCTATGAACATCAAACGTAATCTGAAATTTCAGCATATAGCATGTAGTTGAATATAGCACTACACCTGATTTCCCTTAAAAAATCCAACACTGTATTCAAATCAGCGCCTAGAATAATACTCATATTTCATCTCACACCTGAATTCTGACCAAAGGCCTTTTCCGTTGCTCTCAAAGATTCCAGAAGATTAAGAAACGTGACACAGTCATACTGAGAGAGATACTGCAGCAAAGTTCGTAATATCTTCAAATCCTGAACCAAGGATTTAGTCTTGGCTCCAAGCTGGTGCCACAAGGGATCCAGATAATGGCGAATTGTCTACAATAAGAAGGTTTAGTATTACTAAACATGGGGGCTTCAGCAATTTCACTGAAAATGTATGTTAGCTTTTAATTTCATTTTTATGAGAACTTTTTAAAGTCCCTTATATGTTCAGTATAGCTATCTGTAATACAAATCATACTTTAAATAAAGATTATTCCTTGTAACCTAAAAATGATTAAAGCAAATTTTATATTATATATAATCACTGTAAAAAAGAACTCAAAACATTATTCCCCAAGGAACTGGCCAGAAAGTTTCAGTTAACAAATGTTTAATTTTTCAAATATAGAGCACAGTGCTTGTATTAATAGAAACCTTTTTGATCAGATAGTCAATCTATCATCCATATTTACCTTACTGTTGGCAGAGAAAAGCTCTGATTTACAGATAATCAATGATTTCTTTTTATGAACAGAAGCACAATCACTACACTGCATTCTATACAACAAATTGAATACTGAGCAGGAGTAACATTTGGATGACCATGGAATTTACTGTCCACACTGGGACACATGTGAAAATGAAGCAGGTTATCCTGCTGGGACATTAAACTACATGCTTCTTTTGTAAAGTAACCTACAAAAGTTTAAAATTTTAAACACGACACAAGCTGTATATATATTTAGATGTAGTTACTAAAGAAATATCTATGCTTTGAATCTTACTGGTTAGGGGTGATAAACAGAAATCTGGTGGAAAACATACATATTTTATTTTTCTAGGGACATATGCATTCTATTAAAAGAATCTGAAGTTTTTTTTTTTAAATCAACATGCACTAAATTATGACACACGTTAGGAATATATAAAGTTTAACGTATCAATATTCCACAGTAAATTGACTTTCTAGAAGAAAAGTTAAGTTCTTCCAGTTTTTAAAATCATTATGCATTATTTCCAGTGACATGGAGATTAGTTCTGAATTTCAGACAGGAAAGTGTTTTACCAAAACAGGCAAAAAAAGGCTGAAATTTTTGGTAAGTTGGCGTTCCCTGAACTTACAACTCAATATTACACATTTACACATCTGCATTAATAGTCATTTATGATAAAAAATTCGTTAGAAGCAAGACGTGTTGAACTAAAGCCTTACCATTTTTTCAGTTCAGAATGTAATTTTAAGAGAGCAAGTCTCCCGTGTCTCAGGAATGAACAGTCATCCAAGGGACTCTAGTCCAAGAGAGACTGTGAATTCATGCACAAATACGATGCATTCTTACGTAAAACTCTTCTACCAGTAGATATCCAAATGCCATTTCAGAGCAAAAAAGCTTTTTATCTTCCTCTTGATTACACTGTGTAACCACAAAACTCAAAGTTACGCTTACATGCCAATCCACGCCTTACTGCTAGACTTTAAATCATCTCCTATTTCTAAAATAACAGTCCATTCCTATTACGAACATTGCAAATATTATAATAGCTTGCATTCTTTAAAATCACAACATAACAAGTTGTGCTTTAAAAGGAAAAGAAAAGGAGTACCTTGTCAAAAGGTTTTCCGATAGCGTTTTCTAAGGACAAATCCTCCACTTCAAGCGTCGGGTTATGGCACTTCAGTTCCTTCAGACAAGCATTTAGAATGTCCAGGATAGCAGTCTGGATGGCAAGCATGGCAGGTGTCATAGAAACATGAATTTCTACAACTTCAGGTTTGTGCTGTTCCAAAAACGAGTGTACTGCCACATGGAACCTAAGGGACAAATGCTTTTCAAATACTTTCTAGTTTCGAGAGCCACCTACTTAGAGCTCTCGTGAATGCAACGGGAAACAAACAAAATGGGAAGCAAGACAATGTTTTGAAGAATACTTTGCACCTCCTTGAATGGCAGCCTTATTCAGATAGGGCAGGAGCCGGCAGGCCACAGTGGGGGCCGAAGCCGGTTTGCGCGGCCTCACTAGCGTATGGCCACACCCGTCTAGGGCTGCTTTCCTGCTTCCACAGCAGGGCAGAGGAACTGCGACAAACCAAATGGCCTGCAAAGCCCAGAATATTCACTCTCCAACTGTTTACAGGAAAAGTTTGTAGACCTCTGAAATAAGGTATGATAAGGAAGGAAAAATATTACAACTATTCTTAAAACAACATACAGTAATGTAGAACCAAAATACATGTGAGTATTAGCACAGGTTGCAACAGTGTGTGAAAATGGAAGCATGTTTTTCCTAGACATTTACATAAATTCTTCAAGATCTTCATGCCTTTTTTCTTGGATGGACAATCTTCAAAGTGGAAGTGATGGTCGCAGCCAGGAAACCTGCAGTTCACCTCAACCTGCTGTGTGGGTCACCAAATGGACAAGAATGAAGCAGCTGTCCTGAACGGATGTGATATGCTACCAGGAAAAGAACCATCGCATCCCTCAGCTTCCCAAAGAACCACAAGGAGGGTCGCAGCGGGTTCCGCTACTGCTCATGACAGTGGCATCCCAGAGGGGCTCAGCTGCTCCGCTTCTCATCCAGCTCCCTGCTAATGTGCCTGGGAAAGCAGCAGACGATGGCCCGGGAGCTTGAGCCCCTGCCACCCCTGCGGAGGACCCTGACAGAGTCTGGGCTCCTGGCACCAGCCTGGACCAGCCCTGGCTGTTGTGGTGGTTATTTGCAGCAGGTAGAAGACATTCCTCCCTCTCTCCAGCCCGTTTCTCTCCTCCCTCTCCACCCCACCCCACCATCCCCGGGGCCCTGCTGCCTCTAGTTCTCTGCCTTTCAAACCAATAAATCTTTTTTTTTTAATTATTCACCTTAAAAGAAAATAAAGAACCACAAATGTGGTAGCCACATGGTTACATGGATTTGTTTGTTACGAAGCTGACTGGCATCTGTCAGGTGCCATTACAGGGCATTTGACATTACGTGAGTTACAACAGACTGTGTCACAAAAAGTCCGTCACATGGTGCTACTTACCTCGGCCACAGATACAGCTTCCTCACAAAAAGATTTCTCATCACTCTCTCTACGTGGCAGAAACCGGTATCGAAGGCAACGGCGTTGTCTGTGAAAGCTTTAATAAAACCTCGTTTGTTTTTCTGGCGAAAGAGGCGCAAGATGAACGCTTCTTGACAAGATTCGATTATTCTGTGAGCTCTGTACACCAGGATGCCTGGGAGGGGAATCACAATTCAGATCACAGAGCAGACCAGTAGCTTCCACGCTCGCTCACTCATTCACATGTTTCCGGAGTGCCTGCCTGACACAGGCGTGACTCCTGGCACTGTTCTAGCCTCAAACAACAGATGTCAGTCCCTGCCCCTGCGGAACTTAATGATAAACGATGGGAACAGTAGAATATTCAGTATACTACAGGAGCGAAGCAGACAAAATGAATCCGAGAAGGAAAAGAAGGTGTGCGATGGGTGGATGGAGAGGAGGAGGCGAGTTTACGATCATCGTGCCCTAGAGAGTTCTGGGGCGAGGGAGCAAGAACAAAGGCCCTGGGGTGCAGTGTGTCAGGAGTGTTGGAGGAAGAGGTTTTTTATACAAGATTCGATGTGGATTATACAAAATAGCTGCATTTTAAAAGTTCAGGAAACATGTCTATCACTTATGAAAGTCATTCAATTTGCAGAATCAGAATATATTCAATTAAGAGGTAAATTAATCCATCTAAAATAAAACTCTCTAATGAATATATTTAACAATTTTTTGGGAGGGAGTGTGATCAAGACATCTCTGAATTTTTTTTTTTTTTTTGACAGGCAGAGTGGACAGTGAGAGAGAGAGACAGAGAGAAAGGTCTTCCTTTGCCGTTGGTTCACCCTCCAATGGCCGCCGCGGCCAGCGCGCTGCGGCCGGCACACTGTGCTGACCCGATGGCAGGAGCCAGGTACTTATCCTGGTCTCCCATGGGGTGTAGGGCCCAAGCACTTGGGCCATCCTCCACTGCACTCCCTGGCCACAGCAGAGAGCTGGCCTGGAAGAGGGGCAACCGGGACAGAATCCGGCACCCCAACTGGACTAGAACCCGGTATGCTGGTGCCGCAAGGCAGAGGATTAGCCTAGTGACATCTCTGAATCTTTTTTCTTCTTCTTGTATCTGACAGGCAGAGTGGACAGAGAGAGAGACAGAGAGAGAAAGGTCTTCCTTTTGCCGTTGGTTCACCCTCCAATGGCCGCCGCTGCAGCCGGCGCACCGCGCTGATCCTGGCAGGAGCCAGGAGCCAGGTGCTTTTTCCTGGTCTCCCATGGGGTGCAGGGCCCAAGCACCTGGGCCATCCTCCACTGCACTCCCTGGCCATAGCAGAGAGCTGGCCTGGAAGAGGGGCAACCGGGACAGAATCCGGCGCCCCGACCGGGACTAGAACCCGGTGTGCCGGCGCCGCAAGGTGGAGGATTAGCCTATTGAGCCACGGCGCCGGCTCGACATCTCTGAATCTTAAAAACAAGGACAAGTGTACACGTTTCCTTATTTATAAAATAAGCTCACTGGACTATAAGATCTCCCACACATATATGCCCTTTGGACACAGTGACAAGTTATGGAGAATGTGAGATGACACAGATATCATTTCTGGATCAGAAACCCAACTATCCTATGATGATTTGCAGGCTTTTTCATCTGAATCATGCTGTTTATTTGCTAAAAATGTGCTTACAGGTTTTCGATTCCGTTCTTGTCACTTACAGGGTCCATAAAATGATGCTAATGGTGATTTATGACCACTTCCAGCAGTTCAATAGAATCAATTCAGAGTCTACCATTTACTTGTTTACTTTTTGGATCCAACGTGGATGGAACTAAATTTACTCTTGCTAAGCAAGTTATTTTCCAAATGTAGTACAAATCAATGGTGTTACTTAGACGCTTACAAAGGATTTCCACTAACTCCAGCACATGCACATATTAATTTATTACTCAGAAAATATTCTGTACACAGGAGGTGTGTATTTCCTAGGTCTCTGTGGGCCATACTTTGTTAGCCTGAGTTGAAATATCACATGAAGTTAAGAATAAAAATAGACTTTAAAGAAAACATGAACTCAATTTAAGAAAATGCTCCAGTAGAGTACCATTCTTTTAGAAATCCGAGGAAGGAGAGGATAACTACACAGTATCCCAGGTACTGGGTTGGTCCTCTTACAGATTTTTGTTTCATTTAGTGCTCAGGATAATTCTATGGGTGAGATATTATTAAAGACCAAGAGATGGAAGCAACTTGACCAAGCTCATCCAGTAAGTGGGAGGCCCGTGGTTTCAATCTTGTGGTAAAGCTATGTTTTCCTACAAAGTGACATCGCCTCAGGTCGCTCCTCTTTGACAAAATTAAAACTAAAAGCACTAAGAGCAGGTGAGGCCTCTGGGGGCAGACTAGTGCCTAAGAAGCCTACTTCCAGTTTTATGCCCCTATGACACGTGTACCTCATACGTTCTTAGAATTGCCTCTTTACAAATCCCCTTCACTAAACTGCTTGAAGACACGCACATCATTAGCAATAGGTACTGATTACAGAATGCTTATTAGATGCTACAATGCTACGGACATCACTTACATCATTGCAATTCACCCCTGCAGTCATCTCGGGAGGAAGGTACTATTATTCTGCCCAGTCGACAGGCAAGTAAACTGAGGCACAGAGACATTAGGAAATTCAGCTAGGCACACACAGCTGGTACTAGCTAAGTCCAAAATCAGCAGCAGTCTAACTCAAGAATTCACCTGTTTCTTTCACCTTTCTGCACCCTCTGGCAAAACAAGGTGCGCTTACTAAGTTAAATGTTTGTTGAATGAAAATAAAATTACAGCACTGGGTACACAAATCTAACATGTAACTTTTTTTTCTTTAATTTCCCAAAAAATGTTCCAGAGATACCAGGCTCGCTTCCAGCCATGGAGACATCCTCTGACTTGTCTTTTGCAGGCACACCTGCGTAGGTATTTATACCCCACAACACCTAGGGTGGTGGGCAGGGGAGGAAGTGAGGGCCGGGGGGTTCCCTACTTTCCAGAGGGTTGTATGTTTTGGGACTATCCTGGGGTCCCCCCGAGCTTTGCTGGAAGCTCTCTCGGGGGCTCCAGGAGCTAATCTAGGGAAGGAATCTGAAAGAACTTGTTTCTGGCATTCATTTGTGCTCCATGCAGCCAACCAACTCCAGCTCCATTCCTGCTTGGGGCTGGATAACAAAGGGTGTGTGTGTGGGGGGCACTTCTGATTAGGAACCACCTGTGTGTGTGTGTGTGTGGTGTGTGTGGGGGCACTTCTGATTAGGAACCACCTGTGTGTGTGTGTGTGTGGTGTGTGTGTGTGGTGTGGGGGGCACTTCTGATTAGGAACCACCTGTGTCTGTGTGTGTGTGTGTGTGTGTGGTGTGTGTGTGTGGTGTGGGGGGCACTTCTGATTAGGAACCACCTGTGTCTGTGTGTGTGTGTGTGTGGTGTGTGGTGTGTGTGTGTATATGCATGAGTGTGTGCTGTGTGGCACTTCTGATTAGGAGCCACCTGTGTGTGTGTGTGTGTGGTGTGGTGTGTGGTGTGTGTGTGTGGTGTGTGTGGTGTGTGTGTATATGCATGAGAGTGTGCTGTGTGGCACTTCTGATTAGGAGCCACCTCTATGCTAGATTCTGACTGCACTCACATTGCTCTTGGGCTCCTTAGGCCGAGCTGTAACTGAAAGTCAGAGCAATGCTGACATCTAGTGGTAGAATCAATGGGATCTTTTTTATTTTATCAACCTCAAGAAAACCAACATTATAAGAAAGCAGCAAACAGTAAGGCTTAAATGATGTTCAAGATTCCTGGTTACAAAGCACCAATACTTGTTTTTTCTTTGCTCTCATTTATTAAGAGTTTACCGTCACCAAGTCTCTATACCAAGCAATTTATTTCACCACACTGAATCCTTAGGGTAACTGGGGGGCACGATTTCTTCCTCTAAGAAATGAGAACACTGAGGCCCACGGAATTTAAGGCACTTGCTTTGTAAGCAGAGAGAGCGCTGGAATTCAGAGTCAGGGAGTCCCACTGCAGGGCCATGCCACTGCTTGTAGCATTACAAGCATTACAGAAGGTGAGCAGAACACTCACCCACACTTACTCCTGAACATCCTGGAAGGTCGCCTGTGTTCAGGGCAACACACAGGCACAGTGCAAAGCAGGGTCATGAACTCCCTAGCCCTCTGCCCTCAGAAGTACACTGAAGGTCACAGCACACCCCTCTGTCACTCATCCATCAAAGATGTGTTTGGCACCTGTCATGCAAAGCTCTTTGGCTTGGGATGAACAAGTCATTCCTTAGCTCACGAGTGAGACACACAATACCCAGGCAAACACGACGCAGTGTTCTGAGCAGTGTACTGGGCAAAGCCCGGGCAATCTGAGGGCTCCCAGGCAGGGCCCCTAAATCATCTTGGAGGAGATGAGAAAGTTTCTGAAAGACAAATCAGAAGGAACGCTGATGCCCTTTCTATAGTAATTCTAGCTAAAGTTAAACCTTTTTTCCCAAAATAATTAGGCAACTCTTTGATTTAATTTCAAAATACCCATAAAGAGGAAAACCAAATACTTTTGGAAACACAGAAAGATCACTTAAAAACATCTCAAAGTGGATTAAGTTCTCAAAGCACATGCCAGCCAATTACAACTAGTTCCCGAATATGAACTTAGAAAACAAGGAAAAATCAATCTTCATCAATCTTTTACATACAGTCGAGTGCCGAATCCTGTTGCAAAGACAGACGGCATATATGATGGGGGTCTCGTAAGATTATGGAGACCTCCATGTGCCTCGGAGCTGTCCTAACGTAGCAGCACGACACGCTCCCCGCTCGTGTGTGTGATGCTGGTGCGTACCCTGCCTGTCCCACAGGCGTACACCACATACCACCATGGATGGTACACAACACTTGACAACAGACGGCTGCAGTACTGCTCTGTGCACTTCCTGTCCTTTTTATGATTTTAGAGTATTCCCTCCACCTGACAAACACAGCGGACTGTAAAACAGTACGTCATGTGATGCTGGCGGCAGCCTCACACACGCCACGCTTAGCTCGCCCCTTGGTTGCATCAGGTAATGGGCCCCTACCACCTAGGTTTGTCTAAGGACACCCTACGATGTCTCTACTGCCACAAAATTGCCTGATAATGTAGTTTTTTAGAAAGTAATCCTGTTAAGGGAGGTATGACTAAAGATATTTACTGAGCACTCACAGCATGTGAGGTATTGTGCTAACCTCTGCACGTACCACGCTGAACACAGACGCAGTGACGCCTACGGAACGGAAGATTCTACAGTTCAGTTTAGCACAGGGGACAAAAATAAAGGTGTACAAATTTATGAACAACAATAAAAGATTTCAAATTCTTACCAGTAATTAAATCTGAAGGTATTCTATCAGTCAAGAAATCAACCACGAGTATTCGACTTGTGGCAAATATGACACCACCTTGTGTGTAAACCTCATAGCGACTGTTGCTTGCGATTTCATTGGTTACTCGGCGAGGGAGGTGCTCAACGCCTTCTATCTTCAGCTGATTGATAAAGTACTCCTAAATCAAATCAAACTTGATTAGCAGGCTGTTTAAAATAAGTTGCAGGTGTTTAAACTGATGCCCTTTCCTGGGGATACTGAACTTGATAATGGATATACAGACTAAGTTACCACTTCATGTTGATCATCTGGTCTACATTTCACTAGGATTTTCTTTTAGTTTTTGGGTTTACACCAAGGAATAATTGCACTTCAGTCCTTATTAGCTCTTTAACCAAAAATAATAATAATTTCAAAATGTCTGGGTCATAATTCTGCTACCCAGAAAACACTTCGCAGCTAAGCCAGGTGTGCAGCCGACCGTGACCTGGGAGGAGCTAAGGGAAGCTTTTTCCCAGGCAGTGTGTTAGACTGTGAGTTCTGTCCAGACCCACCCCAGAGGGGCTCTGTGATGTCCCTGGGCCCATGGGGTGGGGAATGCGGTCTGGCCCTGCCAAGGCAACCCCAGGAAGGGCTCCAAACTCAGCAGTAAAGCGACAGCAGGCGAATTCTGAAACTGATCATCGGCAGACAAAGGTTCCCCAGCCCTGCTGGGCCTGGACCCCCAGCGCAGTACCACCTCTGCCGTACACACCCCCAGGAACCCCGCCGGCTGCCAGTCCTCAAACGAGGCCACCCTCGAGGAATGCAATCACTGGCCTGAACCCTCTCAACAGCCCCCAGCACCTGCACAGCCCCATTCTCCCCATCCCCACGGTCCTCAGCTCCCGGCTCTGTCCCCGCAGCCCTGGGGAGGGGCCCCTGCCCCAGCCTCTCCTCCCCGCAACGGGGTCTGCCCAGATGGCGTCTCCCGCCACCCTCGGAGCCCTCCACCCCCACCGGGCCCCCTTGCGGGGTGCCCCTGCGCTACCCCCAGAAGCCCCCTGCCAGCCAACCTGTGGACGCCCTGGTTACTCCTGCCAGCCGTCTCTGCTTCCCCGTAGGGACCGCCACGCAAACTCTCGGCGCCCCCGTCTCTGTGTCCCCGCCATCCCTCCCGCTCCCTTGGGGTCCCTCTAATCCCCTTAATGTCCTGGAGACCCGCGTCCCCCTTGGGGTCCCCGCCGTTCCCTCAGTGCCCTCGCGCGGGGTCAGGGATCTGCGTCTGCTTCGAGGTCCCCCCACTCAACACCCTCCCTCTCTTGGCCCCGCAACCCCACGGAGCCCCCTCTAGCGCTGTCAGGGGCCCCCATGGGAGCCAAGGCCCGCACCCGGCCGCTCGGGACAAGCCCGCTCCCTTCGCCGCACCTCCTCGGCCGGCTGCGTGTTGAGCACCAGGACCAGGCAGGCGGGGTGGCAGTGCAGCCGGAGGAAGTGGTAGAGGAGCCGGTCCGCGCCGAGCCCGCGGGCACACACTACCAGCCCGTCGGTGTCCAGCAGTTCCAGCACCAGCTGCCGCTCGTACTCCAGCAGCGGCGCCATGGCAGTGCGTTGCGCCGGCACTCCCGACTCCATGGGCGCTCTTCCGGGGCCGCAGCCGGAGAGAGCCGAGTCCGAGACGAGCACGGGCCGAACGCAGCCGAAGAGCACCCGAGTCGGATCCGACGATAGCCGACCGACCGCAGCCGAAGAGGAGCCGAGGCCGTGACGAGAATCACCCGAAGAAAGCCGACCCCGAGAGGGCGGGCTGAACGCAGCCGAAGAGGAGCCGAGTCCTGACGAGCGAGACCGAAGGCGGCCGAGGAGCGCCGGTTCTGAGGAGACGAGAGATAGCCGGAAATAGCCGAAAAGGAGCCGAGGCCGAGAAGAGGATGATCCGAAGAGGAGTCGAAGAGAGCCGATCCCGAGAGCGAATGGAGCCGAGCGGAGCCGAAAGTCGGCGAGTTTCCGTGTCGCCGCCAAAGCTCAGGCGGCCATCCCGGGATGTTACCAGCTGCCTCCCTGGGAGTCGTAGATCTAGAACGCGAGCGACCCCAACGCACGGGGACCGGAAGTGAGTGCGGAGCTGAGCCGCCGACGTCGACCGTGCGGACGGCGGTCGGATTCCAGTCGGAAGCCCCTGTTGTCCTGGGGCAGGTCTGGGCCGCCCTTGGCCGGGCAGAGGACGGGCCTCGTTTGCCTCGAAAGGTTTCGAGCCCCCGAGCCGCGCGCGATGTTAAGCGGCGTGGCGCCGTCCGCTGGAGAGACAGCTTGGCTGGGCTTGGGTCCGCGCTGGGCCCGTGTCCACACGGCTCCCCGGGCCGACTTCCGCAGTGGGAGAGTGGAGACCCGCGCACCGAGCTCCTCAGACCACACTGCGGCCTCACGATCTGTGTATTTACGTATTTCCCCTCTGTGTCTACCTGAACCCATCGCACAGAGTTCTCTCATTGAGAACAGATAACACGCAACCCCGATTTCAGCGGCCTCCAATCACTCCCATTGGCAAACCTCTGAACGCGGTTCCTGTCCTCCCAGGGGGTCAAGCTGTCGAGGCCCGGTGGTTGGGATCTTTGTCCCGTGGCCGGACTGGGCTGGTTGACCTTGCACCTTATGAGATAGAGACATTACGTTGTTTTGCCCTCGCTCCCAGTGTTGTAAATACTGTTTCACTAAACATCTGTGTACATCAGGGTACTCGTGCCCTCAAGAGACGCTCCTAAACAGGGCTAATTCCTGGGAGAAAGAGAACAAAGCTTTGTGCGATTTTCACTGCATTCCCATTGCCACCTGCCCTCCAGAAAGCCCGAGCCAATTTATAGTCATAGCCGCAGTCGCAGGCTCCATCCAGGACTTGGCTTGCATTTTGTCCGGATGAGAAGGGCACACGGTAATGCCTGAGCCCTGGGGAAGTGGAAGGAGACCTCTGCACACACTACCTCCAGCTCTCCTGTGAGGTTAGTCTCTCCCGCTCTGCAGTGAGCAGTGTGGAGGCTCAGGGATGTTACCCACCGTGAGCCAGGCCCTGGAGCTGGTGTGTTTCTTAGATCTGGTCAGGATGTGGTCATCAGGACTCCGCAGCTATTTTGGAAATACTTGTTGAAATGACAAGGCTGATTTTACCCAGGTTCCCAAGCTGTGGTAGGCAGAATAATGGCCCCTGACAAATGTGCAGATCCTAATTCCTGGAACCTGTGTGCTATCCTCCATGGCGTAGGGGACTGTGCAGAGTGATTCACTTCGGGATCTGGAGATGGGGAGATTAAACTGGATCATCCAGGCGGGCACACTGTAGTCCCAAAGATGCTTAGGGACAGAGGTGGGAGGGTCAGCGTCAGAGGAGAGGTGACAGAGGAAGCCGAGCTGAGTGCTGTGAGAGGGGCAAACAAGTGGGTCTTCCCCTAGAGCCTGCAGAGGAGCGGAGCCCTGCTCAGTCCCACTTCTGACTTCCAGGTAATGGATTTGTGCTGCTGCTGTGTGTGGGGGGACCTGTTTCAGCAGCCACAGGGAATGAACACACAAGCACCGAGCTCCAGACGTGTCCTTCACTGATCCAAACAAAACTACCGTAGAGAGCAGCGTACAGTGAAGCCATCATTCTGGAGCATAATGGGTCCCTCTGTATAGACCATTTATATGCCCTTATAGATACTCAGCAGGAAGAGATAGTCACCCAGAGGCTATGTATTGGGCACCCGTGCGTGAGGCATTGTAGTAAGTGCTGGGAGGTCATCAGTGGACAAAGCAGGCCAAAGCCCTGTCGCCTTGGAATGTGTGTTCTAGTGGGGAGCTTGCGTGTGAAGGGGTTGGTTTGCCCTATCAGTGGGTGAACGATCATTCTTTTTTGCACATTTCTCCCAAATGTCCAATGGTGGTGTGTTAGTCTATCATTACCACAACTAAAATACCCGAGAAGCTACTTGGGAAGGAAGAGGTGTATTTCAGCTCACGTTGGGAGATTCCAAGATCAGGTGGCTCCGTTGGTTTGGAGTTTGGGGAATGCCTGAGGCAGGTGAGCCAGGAAGCAGGGTGGGGGGGGCAAGCTGAATTTGGCTTTTATAACCAACACTCTGGCAAGAACTATCTTCTGAAGGCCAGCCCTTGAGGACCCCAGGGCCTCCACTAGGCCTACCTGCCCCCCTCCATAATTGGATTAATTCTCTACCTCTTTTAGTCTCATTAACTTCTGACTTTGAAACCTAAACATCTGCACAAGTCGGGGAGCCAAAGGTTAAAAATACGAGGCTAACGATTTTCAGGCATCTCTAATGAGTGGACTGTAGAATAGGTGAACACAGAAAGCTGCTAAGTATGCATTCTATATTGAAAAAAAAAAAAACAATAATGGGCTGGTGTTGTGGCGCAGTGGGTTAAGCCGCCACCTGTGACATTCCATATAGAACGCTGCTTCCAGTTCTGGCTGCTCTACTTCCAATCTAGCTTCTTGCTAATGTGTCTGGGAAAGCCATAGAGGATGGCCCAAATGCTTGGATCCCTGCCACCCACATAGGAGACCCGGATGGAGTTCCAGGCTCCTGGTTTCAGCCTGGCCCAGCCTAGGCCACTGCAGCCATTTGGGGAGTGAACCTGTAAATGAGATCTCCCTTCCCCTCTCCCCTCCCTTTCGTCTCTCAAATAAATAAGATGAATATTTTAAAAATAAAGACAATAATGTGCTGTGTGATTGCTTTTGTCTAAAAACACTAGTAAATAAATAGCATTTTCATATGACTGCATAGAAAACTCTGGAATGAAATGAAATTTCTTCACCAAAGCAGTTGCCTTTGGGGTGTTAAGTAAGTGGCTGGCATCAGCAATAGATCTTTATATTTCAGCTTATCCTCTTCTGTTCTGTTTGACTTTCTTACCATGGACTTATTTTTCTTTTATAATAAAAAGGAAAGAAAAAACTTCTCAGCTGCTGTATAAATACTGTGTCAGCACTAAGAAATATTACTTTGTGAATTTTAAATTTATTATGTGGGTGGGCAACACTTAATGTCAAATGTTGGTATCTGGGAAGGAGACTTTCATAATTTGTAATCGAATTGCATCCACACATTTACCTTTATTCCTAAGTCAAAGGTCAAAGTGTTTTTTTTTTTTTTTTTAACAGATTTATTTATTTGAAAGGCAGAGTTACAGAGAGGGAGAGGCTAAGATCTTCCATCTGTGGGTTTACTCTCTAAATGGCCACAATGCTATGGCTGGGCCAGATTGAAGCCAGGTTTCTGGAACTCCATCTGGGTCTCTGACATGGGTGTCCAGGGCTCAAGCACTTGGCCATCTCCTGGTGCTTTCTTCAAGGCCATTAGCAGGAAGCTGGGTTGGAAGTGGAGCAACCAGGAACTGGTGCTGATACAGGATGCTGGTGATGGCTTTACCTGCTGTGCCATGATGCCAGCCCTCAGTCTTTCAGTATGAAAAGAAAGTTCATGGAAAGTGTCATTGAAGACTAAGTTCATTTTGGTGATCTGGCTTTAGGTGAGGAATCATTTGCCTCCTCATTTGTCCATTTGTGTTTTAAAGAATTTTCATTTGTGGCTCCTTTTTTTTTTTCTTCAGATTTAACTTATTTATTTGAGAGGTAGAGTTACAGACAGAGGGAGAGAAAGAGAGAAGGGTCTTTCTTCCGTTGGTTCACTCCCCAGATGACCACAACAGCTGAGCCGCACCGATCCGAAGTCAGGAGCCAGGAGCTTCTTCCTGGTCTCCCCTGCGGGTGCAGGAGCCCAAGCACTTGGGCCATCTTCTACTACTTTCCTAGGCCATTTGGAAGAGGAGCAGCTGGGACTAGAACCCAGCGCCCATATGGGATGCCAGTGCCGCAGGTGGAGGATTAATCTACTGTGCCATGGCACTGGCCCCCTTGTGGCTCCTTCTACCCAGAACAAGTTTCTGTCTCTCTTCACTTAATTAACCAGGCTTCAAAGCTGTGTTCCTATGTCACCTCCTTAGGGAAGCCTTCCTGGGTAGCCAAATGAGAATAAGTTACCCTATCCATACCCTCTTGGGGCCAAACAGTGTTCTGGTGGTTTTGGGTCAGTGTAACATTAAATGAGTGAACTTGGAGTAAAGCAGCTTGTTCTCCATTGTGAGGTGGGCCTCATGCAGTCAGCTGCAGGCTTGACTAGCTAAAAAAAAAAAACAAAAAAACAAAAAAACAAAACAAAACAAAAAAACAAAAAAACAAAACTACCCCCACCCCCACCCTGAGCAAGAGAGAATTTTCCAGCAGATACCTTCAGACTCTGCAATCTCTTGTGGCTCTTGTGAGTCGCCAGACTGCCAGCTCACATTGAAGATTTTAGATCTGCTGGTCTTCGTCACCATGAACCAATTTTTTTTTCTTTCTCTCAATATGTACCCACATCCTACTGGTTCCGTTTCCCTGGAGAGCCTTGACTAATATAGCATCTTATTTTTAAAGACTTGTTTATTTAAAAGGCAGAGTTACAGAGAGAAGGAGGGAATGAGGGAGGGAGTGGAGAGGGGAGAAGAGCAGAGGGGGATGGGGGGGAGAGAGAGAAAGAGAGAGAGAGAGAGAGGCCGGCGCTGTGGCTCACTTGGTTAATCCCATGTGGGTGTCTAGTCCTGGTTGCTGCTCTTCCAGTCCAGCTCTCAGCTGTGGCCCGGGAGTGCAGTGGAGGATGGCCCAGGTGCTTGGGCCCTGCACCCCATGGGAGACCAGGAGAAGCACCTGGCTCCTGGCTTCGGATCGGCACAGCACCGGCTGTGGTGGCCATTTGGGGAGTGAACCAATGGAAGGAAGACCTTTCTCTCTGTTTCTCTCACTGTCTGTAACTCTACCTGTCAAATAAAAAAAAAAAAAAGAGAGAGAGAGAGAGAAACTTTCATCCACCGTCTCACTCCCCAAATGGCCACAACGGCCAGGGTTGGGCCAGGCTGAAGCCAGGAGCCCAGAACTCTATCTGGATCTCCATGTGAGTGGCAGGGGACCAAGTACTCGGGCCAGCTTCTGCTGCTTTTCCAAGTGTGTTAGCAGGCAGCTGTATCGGAAGTGGAGCTGCTGGGACTCCAACCAGTGCTCATTTGGGATGCCGGTGTCACAGGGGCATCTTAACCCTCTGCACCAAAATGCTGGCCCCTATATTACTTTTTAAAAAATGATTTATTTATTTGAAAGAGTTACACACAGAGAAGGAGAGGCAGAGAGAGAAAGAGAGGTTCTCTGTCCACTGGTTCACTCCCCAACTGGCTGCAACTGCACCTATCCGAAGCCAGGAGCCAGGAATTTCTTCAGGGTCTCCCATGCAGTTGCAGGAGCCCAAGGACTTGGGCCACCTTTATACTGCTTTTCCAGGCCACAGCAGGGAGCTGGATAGGAAGTTGAGCAGCCAGGACTGGAACCGATGACCACATTGGATGCTGGCACTACAGATGGTGGCCTTACCAGCTACATCACAGCACTGGCTCCCCCATACTACTTTTTTATTTTTTTTAATTTTTCTGGTTTGTGTGAATCTTCCTATGA